CCACACCTTTGATACTAGTCAAAAATGAAGTCAAATACGACCGCTACACTTTTACAACACTCTTGAATGGTGCTGAAAAGTGAGAGCAAATATGCAATGAATTACGTCTATAAACACTTATGTCGAAACTGATATTGAGAAAGGAAATTAAAAAGCTGTATTTGAATACTGTTTTAAAGATATTTATACGACAATACCGAACACGGGCGGGTAATCATTGTAATTGCTGTTTTATAATTATTTTTGAAAATGTTCTAGAATATGTACTTTTTCGAAGTGGTTTTTTTTTGTCTTATCTTGAGTTGATCATTTTCTCCTTGATCGATCAATATACCATGTAATGACAGCGACGCAAAACAATGACTCAACAACTGGACGATGGAAGACTGAACCCAAGCAAGACACCCTGTTTTTGGCGCGAAATTGTCGCGGCTGCAGACTCTCTCCGCCCGCGCAAACAAACAAACTACGCAGATCTGAAGAAAACAAAGCTGCTTTTTTGTACGAAGCAGTCCAGCTTTTGTTAACAAATATTTTCACCCTTATCTTTGATATAGTTTAGACCACAAACTTGTTCAAAAGGTACGTGTCATTCTTTTCTATGTGTTCATGCAATAGTTGTTCCTCAAACTTCAGAGTTGTTTTACTGTGTTAAGCTTACGGAAACCAACTCTGAACAGGCGTGTATGTCGTGCTTGGGAACTTTTCTGATTGTTAAATCTGTTTCAGTAAACTATAAAAAATTTTCTATATCACAGTAGAGTTTACATTAGATCAAGCCCTTTTTTCTTAATAGGGTTAGTGCATTTCTGCAAAAGTAATAGCTGGCTTATATTTCACAATGCAATTCAAGTCAAAACTCCATGCGAGAACCTACTAACATCAAGATTTTAAACAAACTCTGGTTTTTCTAACAGTTATACTTAACTACGAAAACTACTTCAGGGTAATGAAATAATATAAGACTTACATATACTTTTTTTCATGAACAGTGTACTTCAATAAAAATATCTGTACCAGACTTTGATGGGCATATTACTGAGGAAAGTGCATAAGCTTATTTGAACAGGATTCAGTGCGGTTTATCAAACAAAGAAGTGTGGTTATTTGAAGACTTCGGATGTTTTACAGACGTGAGCATCTCTTTCTATTGATTTTTCTGGGTTCTATACGTAATGGGGCTCAGGCTGCTTAATTTTTAAAATATTCCATTGATTTTTGTGCCACCACAGTGGCAGCTAGGTATGTTTCAACATTTAATAATAATCATTCAAACATACCAAGCTGTCCCTTCTTTATTGTGACTGGACAATAACTTTAAAAATAGCCTGCGTAGCGAGCTTTTCCGCAAGAGACTAAGTTTGTAGAGGGCGAAAAAAGAGGAAGGAGGGGCCGGGAGGGGCTAACTCGAGCAATAACTCTGTTGGAAACGCTTGTTATGCAGGCTAGGTATAATGTAAAGTGTTTCTTTAGTTTAATTTTAAGCTTTGGGCATGGAGGGAAATTTTCATTGAATTTTCCTGAACTTAATTAAGTGATAATAAGGCTCGATTCAAACGTCAAATTTCACAAATGACGAACTTAATGACAATGCATGTACACGAAATGTAATGTTCCCATTCAGAAGCATTAGGTTCGCTACACATTTTTAACCGGGTCTTTAAGTTTTGATAAAGGTAAAGAGAAAGGGGAATTTTCTGCAGGAAAGGAGCGATAGTAAAAAGGGAGTGGGGCCGAAAAATTTATTTGAAACACTACGACTGAATTTTTTATCTCAAATTGCAAAGTGATAAGTCTCCAGTGGAACGAAACACACAACAGAGGAAGATTGAAGTTAAATACATGGCGTTTGTCTTTCACTTACATCAAGAATCAAAAGCACTCTAGAATGAAAATCTTCGCAAAGATAACATCAAGACAGATGGCCTCCTGATCAAGAACATTTCTTACTTACCATGATTTTTGCACTGGCTTCCGTGAAAGAAGTGTTTTAAACTATTTTGCAGGTTGCCGTCTGTGACAACAGCGTGTATCTGGAACATTTATAGTGCTTCAAAAATTTGCGGCAGTCATTATGATTGTCCATCGACAGACTGCAATGAGTACTTTAGACAATAAATCGTGAAAAGGTTTTAAAAAATCATTTATATGCGTTTAAGTTTTAATCGAAATTATTCAGCTTTGTAATCATCTAATGAGGTTTTAGGACAATAAAGTACAAGATTAAGAACTCAGTCTCTTATCTGTCCATCTTTTTAAACGGTATCCAGGTCGCAATTGAATTTGATTGAAATCTCAAGTTGGATTCTAGTCTGTATATCAAGCGCTTATGACTAGCGAGGCAATAACGCGGCATTCGCGCGAAGCGCGAGGCGAACGAGGAATTCACGCGAAGCGCGAGACGAGCGAGAGGCGCGATGCGAGGGGAGGAAAAAAACCAAACATATTTGGCAACACCTTTATTAAACCTTTGACTTAAATCTCAGACGCATTTGACGACAACTTTGTCACACATTTGACCTGAGGCTCAGACACATTTGACGACACTTTTCACAAGCCTTTGACTTTAATCACAGACATAACTTTACCGCGCTTTTGTCACACCTTTGGCCTGAATCTCAGACATATTTGACGACGCCTTTGATAGGGGTACAAATGCTAATGAAACATACCTTTGACGCGCGTCAAAGGTAGGGGTTAAAGGCGTGACAAAAACGGCCTTTATCGCCTGAAGACTCGCCTTTGACCGTGAGCAAAGGTAAACATTTGTCACGCGTCAAAGTTGTACAAAGGTGTGCAAAGGTGGCCTTTATCACCCGTTTGACTTCATCTTTGACGTTCGGTAAATCCGTTTTTTCGTCCCGTGTTAGCAGCGGGGTCAGTTGACTCCACTCTCGGTCGTTTGAGAGCTATTTTCAATAAGCTGGGGCGCGCTAACGACTCCAACCCTGTTACCCATCCCCTAGTTAAGGATTACTTAAAGTTTGTTAGGGAAGAGCAGGCGGGTTTGGCTATTACGCCTTCTCAAGCGGTCCCATTATTTTTCGGGAAATTTCAGCGGTTAATTGCTCATCTCCGGGATTTGTGTTCCAGCAGCGTATCCCTTTCTAGCGCGGGTAAATACCTCCTTGTAAGGGATGCTACCTTTTTCATTGTGGATTTTTTCACCGGCGATAGGGCTTCGGACCTCGGCCGCCTTCAATCTTGTAACGTGTTTCGGTTAAGAGACCGGGAGGGTTTTTTGCTTAGATTTACCCTCACCAAGAATTTGCGCAAGGGACCCCCCCGCTCTCTCGCTTTGATTAAATTCACTCACTCTGATGTTTGTCCAGTCGCATGGTTTCAGTATTACATCACGGTTTGTCAGTGCCTCAAGGTGCCTTTAGATCAGGGGTACTTTTTTCGGACCGCAGAGCGTAGCGGATCGATAGGGAGCAAGCCTTTTACGGGCTCTGCTGTGAACAACAGGCTTAGGAAGCATCTTTCGGAGGCTAAACTCTATGCCGGGGAAACTCCGCATAGCTTTAGGGTGGGCCTATCCAATACCCTCAGGCTGCTGGGTTGTTCTGCGGAGGACGTTGCTCATTACCTGGGTTGGAAAAGTGGGGAGGTCGCCAAGCGGTATATGCAGGGCTCGGACGCTACTGTATCTCTTACGCTTCTAGAAAAGGTTTTCCCAAGGGCAGCTTCTGGGACAGTTACCCCGGTTTCACACCCAGATAATTTGCAGGCGGCTGTCTGAATTTTGTTTTGCTGTGTTTGCGGTATTACGGCTCTCGCTTTTCTGTTTTGTCTAGGACTAGGATAGGTTGGGGTTTTTTGAGTAATGGAGAATAAAGATGTTTGGAGATCTAGTTCTTTGGTTTTCTCGTTCTTCTCTGTGCCTTATTTGGGCCTAGGCAGCGTTATGTCTGGGACAGGAGCGGCATCTTTCCATAACTTAGTTCTCCGTGACGGGGTAATAGGTGTGCAGTGAGGATATTTTACTATGTTTTGGAAAACTGCTGAAAGTACAGTAGAATCGCAGTAACTTGAGGTTTGAAGGTAAACGAATAGCAGTTTGAGTTGGCAGAGGCTCGAGTGGGATCGATCAAATAATTTTATTTAGTTTGCGATGCTAACAACTGATAGTAAAATATCCTCACTGCACACCTATTACCCCGTCACGGAGAACTAAGTTATGGAAAGATGCCGCGTCTGTTAGGGCAATAGGCGTGCCGAACATAGCGCAAAGGCGAAGCCAACCGCCACCAGGGGAGGCGGGAGGGGCGAAACTTAAACGCCACTTTCACCGAACTCCGTAGAACTGGCCAGGAAGCGGCTAAAACCGAGCTATTTAAAGCGAGGGCCGCAAGGCATCATGCGCGGCAGCACGCAGGCCCGGCAGGACGGAATTTAACTGATTTAAATCTTCCCGTGCTACGGGCTAATTATGTATGCAGTGAGAATAGTTACCATGTGCAAGGTGGTAGAACTTTTTAGGTACATTGTACTATTTTTTATTCTAGCTATCAGGATCTCTTTCACAGCCGGTTACCTCGTCGGCTTCGTGTAACTGTAAACCAAGTAGATTTGTAAAATTTTTCTCACTTCTCTTTACTGTGACTTAATATCTGAGAAATGTTCTCTGCATGAACAGAGCTGCAGAATCTCTTCAAAAAACATCCTGTGCTCACTGCACAATACCAGGTTCACCGGGAATAAACCCTTTAATAACTTGGCAAAATTATCAGGTTATTGCTTTTATTTTTAGTTTTACTTACAAAGCCACAGTAACCATTAACATTCAGGCTAAATTGTTCTTCTTACCGATCGAAAAAGAATTGTTTGACTTAAAAACCACATAATTTGCAGTCGTCATCAAATATTTTTAAAATTGGTTCACCCGCGTGGGACAAGTCCATATCTACGCTGTATATAACTAGAATCACACAGTAATTTTCACGGGGTTATAAAAACTCCTGCGTGGAGTTATTTGTTAAGGAGGTATTGTAACTCCAAAAAGGAGTTTAAAGAAAAACTCTTTTTCAGGAGTAAAAATCACCCCAGATTAGGAGTTAATATTGAGGAGTTAAAATAACCCCCCAAAAGGAGTTATCCTGCACCTAAAATGTTTACTCCATTTTCAGAGTTAAAGTAACTCCAAAAAGAGTAATATTTAATAGATTTAGCCAGGGCTAAAAGCGAGCCTCTCGTTAATTAATATCTGTAGTTGAATGGAACAAAATATAAAATCGTGTTATGATGTAGCGAAGGCAACAAAAACAGCCCAAAAAATCAGTAGGTCTAATTAGCAAACAACAACTTTGCACGTGCAGGACGACTACAACGTGAAACTTCCAGAAACTTCCCAGTTACACGTTTTATGGAGGAAATGTTGTATGTGTTCCTGTTCACTTTTTATTTTCGCTGCCACCCGTTTTGACCTTGAAGGTCGCTAGCATTTCTCATTTTCTCAAAGTCGATATAAAGTTATTCTTCCAAAGAAATTGGTCTCCTTTATTGTTTTTTATCGCTAGCTCTTTCTCTGTTATCCACGTCAATGTAGACACTAAAATTATGTCAAAAGAAAGAATCGGCGTTGTTGTTGTTGTTGTTTCAGTTTTATCTCTAAAAGTCCTGGTGGCTATGCGATTTGCCGCCGCCTAATCGAGAAAACTACGCTAATAGTCACCCTTTGTTTAATTTTTAGTTTAAGTTTAATAATACTTTGTCATACTAATACAAGCAAAATTAACTACAGAAAAATACAAAAAGTGCATGACTTGAGAATATTTGGGGGAAACTAAATTCCCATGCAAAGAATATTCTCTAAAATTCAACTTAACCCTCGGACTTACACGCAAAGTCATTTCCCCTTCTTGGTACAGGAGGGGATGGGGGAGGGGGGTGGGGGGTTGATGGAACTCCTCCCTAGAGTTTTTGATATCTTGGAGTATTTCAAAAAGATTTTACCTTCAGTGGAAAGCCTTTGATCTTCTCGACTAGATGAAGTACAGTAAAAATCCGCATGTAAGAACCTAGAATTTTAAAGGTCAGGCTGAACGGGTTCTTATATTTTAGGGTAGTTTTCAGGCTGATTAGGTTCTTAATAGGTTCTTATTTTTCAGAGGTTGTCGTGGTGTAACCAGTGGCAGAAATATTGTACTTCTAATACATATTATGGTTTATGGAAAACATATTTCTTGTGAAAATCCAAACAAATATAAATCAATGAAAACATATACACAACAACTTTTGTCAAACGTTTCTCGCACAATTAAATACAGATTTTTGATCATTAAAATTGGAGTGATTTTTTTTTGTTTATAAGAACCTATTTTCCTTTGCCAGGCTGAACAGGTTCTTATTTTGGGAGGTATTTAAATGCCAAGTTTCAGCCTATTGGTTCTTAAATCACTAGGTTCTTACATGCACGTTTTTACTGTATATTTTATGGGAGATCAAGCTTCTGGAGGCCAGTGTCGTCACCAAACATGGTCGACATCTTGGAAATCAGGAAAAAAAACGGCGAGAATAGGTAATTTTTTGTGCTTGGCAAGTAAAATAAGCTTTACTTTTAACTTGTAAAGAAGTTGAAAAAACATGTATTCTCACTCAAAATGGTTTCGGACTACCTGCTACTGTGGGTCATATCTCGGAACGATAGAAACTCAATCATCACCTTATCTGCTACACAGTCAGGTTTTTAGTGTCGTCCGTTGGGCCTGAGCATTGCGTGATGACACTAAAAACCGCTGTGTAGCAGACTAATCATCACTAAACTTCTTTTAAACTTTGTATGAGGGATAAACGAACAGCTACTGAAAACATCAGGTGCTAATGTTTAATCGTCTAGGAAAAATCCCAGCAAAAAACCTCAGAAGGGGTCGTATCCAACCATTCCTCCCCTCCCTTCCCTTGTACGTCTGAGGGCTAACGTTAAAAAGTAAGATTTAAGTCGGGCCCAAAGCTAATAGTAATTAAATTGCATACTTCTGACTCTCAAGTTGCACCTGATATCAAATTTACACTCATGAAATATTAGATGGGACATAAAACTGCTTAATGAACGTGCATGCATAATGTTCAATGGAGTATTATTCCGGTCTGCTTTAAAAAGGAAAGCTAGTGCTGGAAACCTGTCAGTCACTGAAGTGGCAAAGTCAACATTACACAAAACTTCCTTTTTACAAAATGCTGGAAGACAAATAGTATGGTGACAAAGCTGGTTTTCCCAAAGATGTTTGTTTTGAATGATCACCCCGCCAGAATCCAAGATTTAGTCAAAAGACTCAAAAGTTAGAGCCACCTTATTAGACTCTCTCATTTAACCTCGGAATAAAACAAAATAAGAAACTTTGTAAAACACAAAGGAACGATTAACGCGTGACTCCTTACTTCACACCTCTCTTTAGAATTCTTTCAGCCTGTTCGCTGTTGGGCCCGGCATTTAGGAAAGAGCTAGTACAAAGAAACATGCAGTGACTGAATAGTTTTTTTTTCAAGTTCATTCGCTTTGAATAGTCGCAATTCAAGAAAAAAGGAGAACACAACACGCAATATTCATATTAATATGTAGCCAGTTTATTTATCACCTTTTAATTAGACCGAATGACAACAATGTGCAGCTCCAAAGTTTTTCCCCCATTGATTGCAAGTAGAGAGCACCCTTCACCCAACAATTTATTGACTAAACCGCTTCAACTTAGTGCGTCAGGAATTCTTGGAACTGTTACTGAACTGTATACACCATTGTTTACTTAATACCTTCCAATTTTATATGCACCGAGGAAGGTATGATTAGCTGACAGCCACAACCTGCTTTCGTAAACGGTTTTCAAGCCGATCTTATCGCCCTTTTTCAGCCGGATAACTCCACCTGTGTAAACGCTGCCATTTTCAGCTTTGTTTCCGGGCCCTGTTTGCATCAAGGCAAACGGTTCTTCATTTACAGTTATTGCCACACGGTTGTGATATTCAGGGCCGTCTTGGTAGATTTCAAAAAACACTTGGGCATAGATGTAATAGGCACCACGTTGATTTATTTCCAATAGCCCCTGTTCAGACTTGAAACCTTTAAATGCTTCATCTTTCTCAAGGTCAGACAGCCCTAGCAAAAAAAGGTAACTAAAAGATTAAAATATGTTCAAACTGCATGTTAACCAGGGCTTAAAGCACGGGCACCCAACGACTGTTTTCTGTAAAATATCTGTTCGGAGAAGCAAAAATTGCCTACAATTTTCTATTACTTGAGGAAGGCTAAAAATTTCTAGATGGCCGTTCCATTCATGTACAGTTTTCGTCGCTTATCTAATAAATTCCCTACGATTTTCTAAAGTTAAGTTTTTCGCATTTCAGTCCCCAAGTTAGCCTATTTTTCGTAGAAAAAGGAAATCCAAAATTTTTGGATTCGAAAATGCGATGGAGACAGGAATCAGAAAAATTCTCACTTTTGTAAAACCTAAAGTTGCATCTAAAATTTTCGGGAAAATCATACTGAGGCCTAAGTAATACCGAAAAGATTCAAGTTGCCCTAGGACGACCGAACAAATAAAACTTTTATAGCGCCGCTTAGAATGCATTTCTAGAGATTTGAAAGTACACTGGATAAGCGAAAAAGTGTTTTCAATGCATTTAGGAGGAAACCGTCGTTGGGTGACCCTGTTAAAGGGGCTAAGTTGTGCTATTTTCCATCTCTCAGTTGAAAATCTGAAACGATCAGGTTTCGCATCAATCGAATTGCATAAGTACTAATGGTCCAGATTTGTCTTTTAAGACTATATTTACGCATTGGAACTGTGTCCTATCGTCTGTTTTTATTTTATGGATGACAAGCGTATAAACATGGCTTGAAACTTGAAATAACGTTTTAATGCTATTATGCAAAAATCACCCTAAAACGATCGTAATTAGTGCTCCCTGATGAAATTCCTAACTCTAAAAGAGCTTTTTGTGTATGGGTAAACGCACTGAACTTTACAGCAATATATCCTCGCGACGTAGCCCCTTTAAACGGTTAGCTGTTAATAACAGTTGTCAGGTATTTTAACGCTCAAATCTTACATGTATCTGCAGAGAAGTTGCGAGCCTCCGACAAGGTCCCTGAAAGTTGCGCCAAAGGTTTCTATAAGGAAAAAAAATCTACTTCGTAAACTTCCATGGATTTGGACGTCCCTGCTTGGGAAAAAACTTTGTTTACGCTTAAAGGCTTAAACCAAATCAGTAACCTATGCGGAACGGTAGGTGTAAGTGTTAAGAGTGATTTTCTGTAAAATTCGAACTTTGGCCTGACACCGGGTACCTCATCGATTTGGCTGATTTTTGGAATAAAGTCTTGGAATGGTGTCTTGACTACTGAATGCATTTTCTAAGGTTTGAATTCTCTTTGTTTCAAAGTTAAGAAGTTAAGCCTGTAATTATATCCTACCTTTCGCTAGATTACCAATACCAATACTTCCCAAGCTCTCATTGAAAGCGAACACATGTGGCTTAAATGGCTTGACACTTTTTTGTAGTATGCATATTAAAATTTTGTTGAGTCGGCATCACTATGAAAATTAAAGATTTAGAGAAAAAAAAAATGTTAGAACTACTTACCTTAGGAGACCTTGCTTGTGGGCCTAAAATTAACAATCATAGATTCAGTATGTTACTTCTCTTTATAGGACAGAATGAAGAGTGCATTTCAGACTTGTGACCAGCGGAGGGTGCATTTGATTGCTCTCGTTTTGGAATATATTTGTAACGAAATATCAGATTTTATTTACATGTAAAGTTTCTTTAATCAGGGTTTTTTCTTTATACAAAAGAACCACTGCATATTCTATAAGAATCGAGGTTTTAATGAAATAACTGACAACACACCCTCGCGCAGAACACAGTTTGACTTTGTTAAGCCCAGCGGCAGTTCATGGTCTTTTATAAGAATCGATGTTTTAAAGAATATCTTGAACCCGAGGTTGAGCCTTTTGCAAAGGATATATCAAGACGAAAAAATTCCTGGACTAGCTATAGCCAAATGTTCAATGAATGACTTCGATGAACAATACATGTAATACATATGAACAGTATACAGCACGAAGAAAAGGAATGGACTAAGCCGCAAAAAGTATCATTATAATGTAAATTATTTCTTTTTGAGGAAAAATACAATACTATTCTCAGGGCTTAACCCTAATCAGTATTGGTAGTCAAAGCGGTTCCTCCCATTGTAGAGAATTACTTTTGTGAATCATGATGTGTCAACGTCATTTTGGAGATGGAGATCAGTATTAACCTATCCTGCATACTGGCACTGGTTGATCGTTGTACCCTGCTCAGCTTGCTCTCTGATGAAGCGAACACTTTAAGGCGTCTACATACAGCAAGGGGGTCACCTTAGTCCCTATAAGCGTAGAAAGCCTATACCCCTAGGTAACATTTAGTTTCCAGGTAACCGGGTTTTAGACATAAAGTGACGAGACGCGGGCAAAGTGCCTTTCCCTCGGGCAGACTCTCACTGAATCTGATGGTCGAGGAAGTCTCATTCCCCTGCTTTGTAGGAACTGCGATTCTGGTATTCTAGTTTGCAAAGAGGTTCCGGATCGCCCCACAGAGCTAGCTGGGGAACCGGTGTAATTCCATAATCTCGTTTAGCCACTTGTGATCAACGGATAGTCATAGGCCTTCTTAACATCCACCCAAGCCAAGCTTAAGTTCCCTTTACCTCGATGACAATCCTGTGACATCATTTTACCAATCATTATTGTTATTGTTATTGTTATTGTTATTGTTATTACCATTATCATTATCATTATCATTATCATTATCATCATCATCATTATTAAAAATTCTGTGTATAGTCTTACTTACTCTCGATCGTGACTTCAGATATATGGATTTTGTTGTCAGTTGTGTGCACTTCACATGCAATGGTCACATTGTGATCCGTGGTTTTCTGTGGCAAAGTGCGGTTTATGGTCAAGTTGCCACTGGAAATGCTTACAACCTGAATCCTCTTGTCTTCCAGAAGCTTACTTTTCGTTTTCCAACATTTCCTGTCTCTGTTACAGTAACCGATGTCTCCGTCGGCTCCTTTTACTCTCCAATACATTTCATAGTATTTGCTTGGGTCCTTTTTGATTGCATCACAATCCAGCGTCTGAATATCACCTCTAATGGAACGCTCTTGCCGTGTTATGGCAGAACCTGAAAAATATGTCATAAAAATGATCTGATATTAACTTTAAAGGGTGTCTAAGGGTGTCGGGGAAGGTAGGCGAGAAAAACGTCTTTTCAGTTATTTTTCCCGCCTCCTCCCAAACTGTCCCCCTCCCCCTAAGTTGATTTGAAACTCATCCAAGATGGCCGCCCGTAGCACAAAACGCAATAGTGGGCCTGGCCTGTGAACAGTCTAGCTATTACCATGATTACACTTTGCTGGAAATGCGCCGGGAAAGGGAACTTCTCGGGAAAAGAATACGGACAGGAAGTTCCCGTTCAGTGAGGGATTCATGCGATCGGAGAAACATGTAAAACATCATTCCCACCTGATGTGTAATGAAGCAAATTTCCTGTTGGGAGAGCTTAAAATAACAATTTAACGAAACCACGTAACACTTTCACTTTCACAGGCAAACCAATACCGATATATAATAAATTAGATACATCATATTAATACGTAACTGTCAGTGTATACTCTAGTCTGCCTTCGCGAGTCTCCGACAGTTATTAGATATAGGCTCTTATCAGCTTTTATTTTAGACAACATCGTTCAGTAAAACACTTAACAACCGTCTGTTTCAGGGCGTACTTAATTGAAACTGCTGTAGACCGGCACTGGAAATGGCCCAACGATAATTAGTACTGACATTCCGTACATGACCTATTCTCAGGCAACGGCAAAGCGATACCTTTCATCTTACATACAAAAGTTTTGAACTATCAAACTAGTCAGTATTTTGTGCAAAGAACTGCTACTAATAGTTATCGCTTTCATCCGGACACTAAAGGCCCCGCTAAAGTTCAGAAAGTTGGATTCATGAAGACCCCTTTGCATGTAAAACCCTCCCAGATCAATCTATTGTAGCTATATTTCATAAATTCGTTTGATTTTTTGTAAATTCACAGAGAATTAAAGACTGAATAACCTATAAACTGTTTCGATGAAAGCTTGAAAATATTATGCTAACGAAAGAAAGATCAACCTTAAATCGAAAGTACTTTCATATCTGTTTGCATGATCTTTGCCTGAGCCAAAACTTTGTCAATCGTTAAGTGAAAATATAATCTCATTTATTTAATATCTGCCTTACTTGTTTTAGTTAAAAGACTGAAGATAAGGGACTGTGCAATAATTATCAGGAGGGGGGAAAAACTAGAATTATCTAGCAAAAACTTACACAGTACCCCCTCCAAAACCAAAAAAAAATAGTTCTAACCCCCCTCTGTTATGTTAAAAATAACGTCGCACCCCCCCCCCCCCACCACCACCCACCCAAGATTTAGACACAGCATTTGCTAAGTACCGGGGAGCTTACCACATTGGCTCAAAATCCAAAACTTCTGAAGCCAGAAAGAGAAAGGAGCAGAGAAAAAAAAAAACAAAGAACAGGAGATTGAACGCTTCAAATAACCGACGAAAAAGAGCTTGCATTATATTTAGATCCTTGGTAGGAAAGCCTGATGAACTTTGTTATGAGCCAGATATAATTATATGGAACTCAGCAAATCGATTCAGTCGATGAAGAAACATTACTTTTATTCACATCGAAAACCGACAAAGCTTGTCTACGAGATCTGTTTGATTCCCATTGTTTTATGGGGGAAGCTGAAAAACAAGTTCATGATTTTTGCTTTACATAGGATCAGCTCAATTAATTAGAAGACAGGTTAAAATTGATCAGTTGTGAGTTTGCTTTTCATTTTGATGGAATATTTTCAATAATCGTTTAACAGCTGTTCGTATTGATATTTGTTACAGTCTATCATGATGCCTGTATTAAGATCTTTTATTGCGTTTAATTTTATTTACATTTCGAATAAAACTTAAGACCCCCCCTCCGTCAAATGACTGATTTTACTTTGAGCACCCCCCCGATCTTGGCAGCAATTTTATGTAATGCCCCCGCCTCTAGTTTTTCAGCCCCTCCCTCATGATAATTTTTGCACAGTCCCTAATAGGTGACTATGAAGATCACGAGCGGAACACGTAATTTAATCCAACTTAGTCTAACCTTTGGTAAAAAAGGAAGCTCTGATATTAACAACATCAAGTCACGTGCACGTGCTTTCAACTTACCCCAGAGTAGCAATAACCATAAAGCTGAACTAGAACTCATGTTGACCTTTTTCTAAAATGATTCTTGCAGTTGCTAAACAAGTTTCGCTGTTGTAATGCTTCGCCGACCAAGAATAATAAGACCGATTCTGTAAGAAAGAAAAAGGGACGAATTACTTTGTCATCAAGTAACCGAAACGGAGCTTTCTCTTTCGAAATCTACTCTTTCTCTTTCATTTCCTCTGCTAATGAATTTTTTGTTGGCGCTATGCATCAACTCAGGGAAGAAATTAGGTGTTTTAGAGTGAAAGCGATCAAGAAGCGTTTTATGGTAATCTAGAGAATTAATGTCGATTCCAATTTTGCAAGCACATTGATTATATTGTTTGAGCCTATATTTTCTGACTAAATCATTTGCGTTCCATCGTTCTGAGAGAACTAACTGCTTCTCTCGCCAAAATGGGCTCCCTTTTCAAGTTTCTTCATGTACCCATGATCACTGCCGCCGCGCGTCGTATTCAAAATAGTCAATTTCAAAAGGCAGTTCGAATTCTTGCTTAATCAGCTCTGGGATCTGTGATCAATAGCTAGAAATGTACCCTCTTTAATGTCGAAATTCTATCGTAAGAGAAAATCGTACCACTGTAGTAGAAATACCAACAAACTATTTCAAAGTGCATTCATCAATTTGCGTTCCTACAAACATTTTGGGCTTGGGCTGCCGGGTTGAAACCTTCGTACGTGAGTAGGCTTAATTAACCGTTATAACAACTTCTTTTTCATGTTGGGGTTTTTTCCCTTTTTATCATGGTGAGGTATGGTATCCTTGCCAATATCGAGCAGCGAAAGAAAGGCATTGATTCAGCTAGTTTTCGCTTTGCTTGCTTTCACCGATAATAATTAAGTGATTGACCAAATAATCACAAACAACAGAGAAATAATAAACAAATTATACTTACTAAGGAATGAACCGACTAATATGACTAACTTACCGTCTTCTATCCTTGTACCGCTAGTTGTGGACTGCACCCTAAAAGTGACTTCTTTGAATGTTCACAAGTGTTTTTATATAAATGATCATGTGACCATTTTACCGATACAACCCGGAACAGCAGCATAAAAAAAACGTTTGTCACCTATTTTAAAATATAACAGGAAAAAAGAGAACGCCAATATGGTTAACGAACAGTTTTTGAAAATTTCCGGTTAGAAAGTAAATGAAACAGCACTTTTGAGTCTTTTCGGGACCACCCGAGACCACCATTCAGCGGAAACTTTCCAGGCCGGTAAAACGGGATCACTGTGAAAAAGAATGTTCCAGATCAAGACAGAAATGTAAATAAACAGTACTGTAAATATAAGTTGTAAACATCTTATATTCTTTACTTGGAGGCGCCTTCAACATGACCCCAGGTAAATGTACAGTTGTGGAACTGAACCTTTTTCGTCATAGACAGCCCAACTCACGCGACGAGAGAATTTTCAAGTTCTGCCACCAGTTGTGCAAGGCGAAGTTGGGAGACTGGGCCTTTGAGGAAAGTAGGATCGCTGGTTCTTCTTCCACCCGTTGCAGGCAATCTAGAGGCGCTTTGATATGAGTATATGCTTGTTTTATTCAATGAAATTTGCTCGTTTAGGCTCCTTGATACCACTCGGTATAAGTGCTTTTAATAACTCCCTTTTCAAGGACTGCTCCGTAGGACATGCTCTGTTACGCTTGCAATAAAAAAATCTCAATCACCCATTATTTCCCGTATCTCTAGCTGGGGTCAACTAAAGTGATCCACATTCTGATCAAGCAGCACCAAGCACTGAATTTCCTGACTGACAGTATCAAAATAATGATAGTGTTGCTTTCAGCATTACTAAAAAACCTTGTAAATTATTTCCAAATGAAATATGCTTTAAAATAAGAGACAAACCAGCTGATTGACCTTAGATCGATTTTAATTTGTTTATATTATACATTGTACCGTAACCATTAAACTCACGATGAATGTATAAGGATATATTTCGTGTAAGACCTGTAACTCTGAATTGTCTACAAATCAAGTACATTTTCCACCGAAGACCGAATTTCTTGACTGTCAGTATCGAAATAATGATGGCATTTCGTTCAATGCAACTTAAATGGTATAATTTAGTGACAAATATGCTTTAAAAATAAGAGAAATATTGACCAGCTGATTGACCTTAGATCAATTTAAATTTGCTTATTATACTCTACCAAACCCATTAAAACTCATCGTGAATGGATAAAAATGTGGATTTGATCATGATTAATCAACAGGAAGAGGAAAAACTAAGATCACAGGGCGTTCCTAATGTCAGAATGATATTACTCGCTTTTCCCTTTATTCCTAATATCAGAATGATATTAGGAATAAAGGGAAAAGCAAGTGGCTTCCCGCGATGTACATGTGCAGTAGCCGGAAGTGGTTTTAATTTCTTTATCGATAGAGGGGTAGGGAGAAGGAACTGGAGAGAGGACATCCTGTCTTCAATGATTAAATCGAAAGGCCGAATGAACTGAAAACACTGACTGGTTTCATCTTTCTTGACCCTTCTCATTTTATGAATTATTGTTTCCATGCGATGGGATTTTATTTTTCTTAACTGATCGATTGCAAATAAACTCAAAAAATGCTGTAGAACCCCTCGAGATCCCCGGTGTAACTCGAACTCGGATAACTTGAGCTCACCGCTAATTGAAACCATTTCCCTTGGATTTTTCAGTCACTTTTACTCGGCTAACTCGATTTTGGATAACTCGAATTTTTCGCTAACTCGAACTAAATTTCATTTACGTTGATCCAAATTTACCCCGATAACTCGAATTCTGGCTGTATATAGGTCACCAGGGATGCCTTCCCATTAGCTCTTTTTGTCTTGCAGTGAGTAAAAAACTAAAACCGGTACACTCCTGCAATTTTTTTCTAATTATTGCAAAGAACCCATCAAGTGTTGGACAGTCATTTCTCAAACTTATGATTTATACCATCAGAATTATGTAGAATACATGATCATGTTACAGCGGATGGGATACTGCTGATGTGCTGAAAAATCAGTTAACCGACTCAGCTATGAGTTGTTAGCATCGCAATCTGAATAAAATTGTTTAATCGATCCCACTCGAGCCCCCGCTAACTCAAACTGCTCTTCGTTTACCTTCAAACGTCGAGTTACTGGTATTCTACTGTACTTTCAGAAGTTTTCCAAAATATAGTTACCACGTGCAAGTAAAACTTTTTAGGTACATTGTATTATAATTTTATTCTAGCTATCAGGATCTCTTTCCCTGCCGGCTACCTCGTCTGCTTCGTGTAGCTGTAAACCAAGGAGATTTATAAACAATTTGTTTACTTTACTGTGACTTAATATGTGAGAAATGTTCTCTGCATGAAGAGAGCTGCAGAATGTCTTCAAAAAACTTCCTGTTCTTACTGCACAATACCAGGTTTCGCCGGGGAAAACCCCTTTAATAACTTGCAAAATTATCAGCTTATTGCTTTCATTTTTAGTTTTACTAGCGAAGCCACACTTACCATTAACATTTGCAGGGGCTAAATTGTTCTTCTTACCGAACGAGAACGAATCGTTTGATTTTAAAACTACATATTAATTTGCAGCCGTCATCAAATAGTCAAAAATTAACGATTTAATTCGTTCACCCGCGTGTGACAAATCCATATCTAGCGCATAAAAATTAATAATCACTCAGTAATTCTCAAGGAGTTATAATAACTCCTCTATTGGGGTTAATTTAACTTCTTAGTGGAGTTATTTGTTAAATAGTTATTTTAAAGAACTCTTTTCCACGAGTAAAAATCACTCCAGATTAGGAGTTAATTGGTTCAAATTCTATTTTCCTTTGTTTTGGGGTACGTTTTCATCGGCGTCGCCGTTGTCGGATCGTACGTAAGTTCCCTAGTATTTATCCTGAGTGCCAGAGGTTTTATTTTTTTTTTTTCTAAATTCCAGATTGCGGCGAAGCCGTGAGGTTCAACTTTAGCACTCGAGTCATATCTCGTGCTAAATGATATAATTTTTTGACGTTCTCGTTGCCGTCGCCGTTGTCGGATCTTAAGGTCCCTTTAGTAGTGAACTCGTGATACACATCTTAAAGTTCGTGATGGATGTTAGACTTCTATTAGAGGCTTCAAATAGTCCACAGACTGGACTATTAGAGTCTTTTAGGTTAAGAGGAGAATCTTATCTTCAGTCATCTTCTCAACTGGTAGCCAGTGCAAGTATTTCAGTGTATTTAGTGTCAATTTTAATCACAGCAATGCTAAATGTAATACTTTCATCAAAAGATGGTTGCCTTGTAAACTGCGATGTGAAATTTAGCACCTCAGCTTTTCCAGGTTACTCTTGGGCATGTTCTCACTTTATATGAAATAATACACTCGACACATTGCCGAAGGGTACCGTCTGAAAGATGGAGCATTACAAGTGCTCAAATGAAGAGTTTTCAAAATGACATTTGTTACCATAAGCAGGGAAGTCTCTGTGAGGTGATATTGTCTATAGGGTGATCGAAGATTGGGAAAAAGACCCTGTTGACCAAGATAGCTGATTGCATATACTTGAACAGTTGCCGCAGATTTCTCGATTTCTTTACTGAGGAAAAGGAATTTAAGATTGCCTCAGTTTTATTTGAAAAATCTCTGTATCGCTTCTATTACTTATCATGCTTGATTGTTGGGCTTTACTTTCCGTACGCAGCCGGATTAAGCTCTTGGGTTTGCCCACGACCTTTAGCCTGCGTGGCCGGCGTTGAAAGGGGAAGGGGAAAGGGGAATTTGGGCGCGCGCGAGAGGGGCGCGCGCCCAAATTCCCCCTTCCCCTTTCAACGCCGGCCACGCAGGCTACACGACCTTTCGCTCGGCAAGCCGGGGCTTTTCCAACTCAGCTAACCAGGCGTTTAACAGGAGCTTAAGCAAAGACGTTTTTGAGCGACGCACGTCAACCGGAAGTGAGGCCTTCTCACTCTGTATACATGCCTTGACTCTAGCAGATTTGTATTGCTAAGTTTCTTTTCTCTTATAAAGAGGATTTACCCGAGAGTTTGAACCAAACCACTGCCCACTGATGCAAAATGCCCAATTCTGGTTGACGTCCGTCGCCCCAAAACGATGTTGCTTAAGCTCCCTACGTCAACCGGAAGTGATGCCTTTTCCTTTTTATTATACATTGACGCTACTAAATTTGTATCGCTTAGTATCTTTAACTTAGTAGAAACGACCTGCCCGAAAATTTAGCAAAACCACTTTCTATTAACGCAAAAAGCCCATTTCCGGTTGACGTGGGTCACTCAAAAATGCCTTCGCTTAAGTTCCCACTCGCATGCGTACATTTGAAACCAAACGGGCGCTGTTGCAAATCCGTCAAAGTTCAGTTGCTGAATCGCTAAAAGTAAACAGTGAATTCAATGGGGTGTAATTTTTCAAATTTAAATTCCCTTACAACACATGTACAGGGTCAGGTTTTAAAACTCTTCCTCTCATCATCACCTATCCTTAACTTAGATGGTTTTTTCAGAGAATGTTTGCCTTGCTTAAACGGACCCTTAAAGCTGTTTCTTAGTGATCCGCCCGGAACCGGGAAGTAGCTTTTATTTGTTAATCGAAAGAGGAATTTAATAAATTAAATTTCTAAGATGTTACTTGTTTCAAGTTCCCCGCTAAAGATTTGCCGAGGAAAGAAACCTTCTCCATTGTACACAGATACATTGTCGGCTGGTTGCAGGTTGTTGAAAATCAAATTCCATCAACTGAAAGAGCAGAATTATGAAGCTCATGATATGGGGTATTCTCACGCCGGAATTGCTGCTCTCCTAATTTCATGCTCTCTCTCAGTCTATATACTGTTTTCTCTGATTTTTTCTTTAAACCACATCAACGACTCGGAAACGGTTTGTTTGACTAATTCTCATGGTCATTATCCCTCAGGACCTTTGTTGACTCCTTGGTATTGTTTTTTAATATTTAAGCTCAATTTTATTGGTACATAAGCAATATTAAGACAAAACGATTTTGTTAAACATACTTTGTTATTTCCGAGAACAATAAAAATTACAGGTCTCCATTTAAACTACCATTTTATGAATTAAATTATTTTACAACTTTGGGAGTATAAAGTACAGAAAATAACAACTATATTCCGCATTTTAAAAAAAATAAAATCCTGTTTTTTAACATTTCTATTGTTGTTTTTAGTTTTTTTTTTGCAAGTAAAATGATTCAGTCTTGAAGGTGTCGATTTTGCTAGGAAGTATCTCAAATACAAAACTCGATGTTTAGCAGGAGCTAAATCTTACCGTTATAATGATGACTAACTTTCGGGTGGCTTAACTTCATATTACAAAGTTCAGTCAAGTTTCGTGCAATTAAAAATATGAATATTACTATGTTGTTACAGGAAATAATTTGTTTTACAATCTTCTACTGGAGACTGGCTGCTTGGCTGCACCGGAACAAAGTTTCCCTTTTTATCCCTTAGTTTGTCTTATAACCTTTGGGATAAGGCTATTCCAAAATTTCAATTCTTTTGCCCTATACTTCTGTTTTTCCTTGGGCTTCACGTCAAGGGCCAGGTAGGATCGGTTTACTTTGGAGAACTTCGGCCACGTTACAGGAGAGTCGGGGCCATTAGGATCCCTTAGAACGAAGGAAAATCAGAAGATGAGGAGCTTGATGGTAACCAAGATTTAGGATCATGCGCAAAATAATAATAATAATAATAATAATAATAATAATAATAATAATAATAATAAAGCAAAATGGTTGGCACTCTCTTCCCTACAGGATTGCACTTCATAAAGTAAGCCTAAAAGCGCTTGCAAGCTCTCGCAGTTTTGCTGTCTATTATTTATTACAGTTTTAACCGTATTTTTCCACATTTAAAAACTAAGAACTCTGCTGGATATTTTATATATTTTAACTCACGGTTTTTGTGTAAACCAGCGCCTGTAGCTGATGAAACCTGACCGTGGTTAAATAAATGTCTGTCTATCTATTCATGTATCTTCCTGGAAAGCTATCAAGTCGCAAAGGGTTCTGGCCGAAATTTGCTTTAAAACCTCAAAATACAACAACCTGTTTAGACAAGCAAGGTCAAGCAGGTTCTCATTTGGGTTACCGTTAAATTATAATATACAATTTATAACATGACAAAGGAATATAACTTTTAGTTGTAAATTTATAGGTATAACAAAAACACACTGTACTAAACTGAATATGTAAGTTCTGCAATCAGCGGTTTTGGTAGGGTTATAATAAAACAATAGTGAATAAATAAAAAAGTTTATATGGGTTTTTGCTAGTGAAAAATCTACTATCCCTTTTATAGAACCTGATTATGAAACTACTTAGGCTAAACTCCCACTTTAAGTACCCAAAATACAAGAACCTATTTTGCCAGACTCCCAAGAAAGTAGGTTCTTATTAGCGGGTGTTTACTGTAGTATTTGGTCTTAGATCTTACCCAGACTTAGCAAAGTCAGTCCACAGTCTCATGATGTACAAACTCAGCCCCTTCTCAATTTCAGAATATTTGGGAATAAAAAATTCCATTGGCGATGAAATATTCGCGAAAGGTGCTCCAAACACAAAACCAATGTCAGCTCCGTGAAATGGGCCAGCCCACTCGGGAAGTTTCGAAAAATCTGGACGATGCTCAAATACGTAAAAGTAAACTGGCCTTCCAGCCTAGGGAAAGTAAAGTTAGAAAAAACATTTACTAGAGCCAGTTACATTTAGTGCCCCGCATGGTTCAGTACATCTTGGCGGGACCAAGTAAGGGCTGATTAATGATGTAGTCGATCATTTTGCATTTGCCTACTTGTTGATTAACCTAGTATTTAAAAGTGGTAAAGGGGTGAAATTAATTTTATACGGGAATGCTCCGCTTAGAGATCCAGCCCCTTACCCTTTTATATACTCTTTTCATAGAAAAGATACCCCTTTCGTATTTTCGTTACTGACCCGTTCACATACCTAGTTTTGATCACTTTATCCCATTTAATTCCTGGCGTGATGCACAGTGTCTTTTTAATGTGAGTAAATCACTAAACCAGGCAGCTTTCGTGTCTCTTTCATAGCCACAAAATGCGTCTCTAAGCACTTTCACGTCCTTTTTAATCGAAATGACAGATTTCTATACTGTTTCATATCTTTCCACTGAAGTGAACCCCCTACCCTTTTATAGCGGAGCTCTCGCGCGCGAAGCGCGCAGCGGAGCACCATGGGTAACAAAATGTGGTAAACTACCCATCCGAGAAAATTTGGTAATCACGTGACCGTACACCGACCGCCCGCCCGACCGTCCGTCCGCACCACAGGCATACCAACGCAAAATTTCGGGTAGTCTGTGATGAGGGTTTTTTGGCGCGAAAACGAATCGCAACCCGCGTTTTGTGAAGCATAAACAACTTAGAAGTTGAGGAAAGTCAACTCAGAACAAAAAGAAATTTTTCGTGTCGGTTGGCATTTTTTATACATCCGTATTTTCTACATTATTTATTTATTATGCCCTCTAGTTTGGAGTATAGAGATAAAGAGAGGCAGAGGAAACGAGAAAGTAGGCGGCAAGCAAGCCAAGCTCAACGAGAGAGAGAGCGGCAGAGAGCTAGAGAAAGGAGGCGAAACTGCTCTGACGAGCAACGGGAGAGGGAGCAAGAAAGAAACAGAGAAAGGAGGCGCAATTTTACTGACGAGCAACGGGAGAAAGAGCAGGAAAGGGATAGAGAAAGGAGGCGCAATTTTACTGATGAGCAACGGGAGAGAGAACATGAAAGGGATAGAGTCGAGAAAGGAGGCGCAATTTTACTTATGAGCAACGGGAGAGAGAACAGGAAAGGGACAGAGAAAGGAGGAAACATTTTACTGAGGCGCAACGCGAGAGAGAGCAAGAAAGAAACAGAGAAAGGAGGCAAAATTTTACTGACGAACAACGGGGAAAAGCGCAAGAAAGAGAAAGGGAAAGGCGACAAAATTTCACTGAAGAGCAACTGGAGAATGAACGAGAGAGAGCAAGAGAAAATAGACGCCTAATAAGCGACGAGCGGCGAAGAAGGGAGCGAGAGACAGCAAGGGAAAACAGGCGTCGTATAAACGAAAAACGAACGAGAAGGAGGAGAAGGTGAGCGAATTTTTGCCGAGGTTAGCTTTCTGTTATAAGAATCGGGGATTTTACGAAAACAGAGGTAGCTTTTGTTTTGTTTGTTAAACAATAACCTCTTTGTAATTGCATCAGTTGTTTTGGACCAATCACCACACGTCATTTGTTGTCACGCAGTCTAGAGTTGATACTTTTATCATCCATTGAAGTTGACGTGTGTCCTCCAAGTTCGTCGAAGAGAAACGATATGATTGAAATTTCACTTTAACAAGACAGTCGCGTCCAAGATAAAATTATAGAGTAACCTTATAATTCGTGCTCCTCGGTGTATTTTCGTTGTTTCTGGCGCGGAAAATAAGGTAATCTTAAATTGTATTAATGAAATTTTATCGAAAATTATAACCATTGCCATGTGTCCGATGCATCGCTGAATGAATGATAACTCCTTATGTAAATTTTAGGCGACTCTGGCCTCTGTGACAAGTTAAAATGATTCAGTGTTAGAGGATTGTAAATTATACGGTCTGTGAAAGCGTTGTTATGTTTTCTGAAAAGAGAGCAGAGAGCACCTTGAATTTGAAGATTTTCAATGTCTGTTGAAAGAGCGTTTTGGTGCAGATTGTTCGAGCTTACCTCTATTTGTTTTATTCAGGGTAAACAGAATTTGAAGGATCTATTCTCCCTCTTGTAATTGAAATAACTTTTATTATTTTAGTATAAATCTAGGCTTTTCCATTTTGTAGATACCTATCTTCGAGTGTTTAAGAATATATATGGAGATCTATGTAAATAAGGAGGGCAGCCAGGGTTAGAAATTATTTTTGAATGTTGACAGGCCAAACAAATTTAAGCTCGGTCATGTCTAGTTACTAACCGGTCAAAATAAATTATTACCTGCCAAACAAATTTTAGCTCGGACCGGTCAAAAGACAGTAAAAACTCGTAGGTAAGAACCTGGATTTTCCCATTGCATTAACAGGTACGTTCTTACAAAAATAGTTATTGGCAAAAAATTTGTCTATTTTTCTAAAATGAAAAGGTTCTTATTTTCTGCAGGAAAAAAAAACATTGCAGCTTATGTCTCCGAAAGAGGTTCACCTGAATATTTTCCAGGTGTATAGAATTTTTTTTTATAGATTTGAGAAAATAAAGATGTGTGTCAACTATTGGGCTAAACAGGTTCTTGTATAGAGCCTGGGGCCTAATTATAACCGGCAAGTTTAGCCAAACAGGTTCCTAAAAACCAGGTTCTTAGTCACAGCTAGGTTTTTACTGTATTGAAGACATTGTACTTTGCAGTAATAGCCAAATTAAGACAAAAATTATGTGATCATAAATGCTCAAAAACTCCTTGTGTTGAGAGATGGGGAAATATTATAAACCAGTTTTGAGTGTGGTTATCAAGTTGTTCATTCATTGGAGGGTACAGTGTAGTAAATAATATGTCCAGGAATATTGTCAAGCTCAGCTCGTTTATTCTTAAAAACAATTCCCCATAAGAGTTAAACCAGAAATCACAACTTTTGGCTCAGTATTGTTCTGACATGTTTTCTTTGAACAATAGGTGTATGTAGGGGTGAGGGAAAATTCTTGCCCAACTAAAGATTTTATCTTATCCTCTTAGCCATGGAAGAACATGAAAGTCAGGTCCTCCAGGTTGAATGTAGCATGGAATGCTCTCTGCACCGGTGAACAAGAGCAAAGTCACTCAGCAGGTACTGATATAGTTCATGGTAGATGGTATTTATTATAGAATTGCATAATTGAGTAAAATCATGCATTCTGATTGGTTAACGAAGAGAGGTATTCAGTGTGGAATTGCGAGTTGAAAACGAGGCTAAGGGATGTTTTTTCGCATCTACGTAACAACTATCGTCAAATTGTAACACAACAACTGCAAAAAAGGTTTTCTACAATGTCATTTTAAAATGTTTTCAAAATCATTGTCACCTTTTTTATATCCTTTCTTAACATACTGTAATGTCGCCTGGTCCTCCACCTACTGTTCCAGCCTAAACTGTATTTACCCTTTGCAAAAGCGTCTAGTGCGGCTCATAACAAAAGCTCACTATCTAGCAAATACCGCCCCTTTGTTTAGCCGGCTTAAAGTCCTTGACATATTTAGTATTAATTTATTTTCTCTCACTACTTTTATGTATTGTTATCACCATAATCTTTTGCCTAGTAGCTTGCGTGACTTGTTCTTAAGTAGTAATCTGAAGTCCATCAATACCAAAATTCGACTGGCCTCTCAGTATAGACCTCATTTTTGTAGATCAAATATAAAGCAATTCAGCATCCTTTACCGAGGACCTAAAATCTGGAATTCGTTGCCTGTTTCACTAATTAGCTCTCCTTCTATATTTGTTGTTACAAAAAATTTAAAGAATTATCTCACTGATAGCCGATCTGTCGCTTAATTTTCTGATCTTGCTCACTCTGCACTCAGCCATGAATTTAGTTTTCTAGGTAGTTGAAGGAAGCCTATTAATACGGCTTCAAGCTTCGTTAGACTTCCTTGTCACATTAATTTTATAATTTAATTAACAGTCCTTTTGTTTATGTTGTATAAGGTTTTGTGAGTGACTAAATAAATAAATAGTTAAAAACAAACAAAAGCATTTTTTAAAGTGATCCGGAGGTTCTTCCTTGTTTTGAACTAAACTACAAATTCTTGGAGAGGTATAAAAAACCCCTTTCGCTAGCGACAATGAGAAAACAAGAAAATCCTGTCAACACAGCCCAGAAAATAACAAGCCAAATTCAAACAAACAAAACGGAGAAGCGACAATGGAGGAAGTGCCAGGGTCAATTGTCACATATACAGAAGAAGAAATAAATACCTTCAAAGATCACATTGTCCCTGAAAACACGAAAAAGAGTACGCCACTTGCATTCATCCTGAGTCGTGGTACTTAGAAAAGTACAAAACAGAGCTGAACTTGAACAGCATTTTTAAAACATTTCAAGGTACTTACCTTATATCAATCGCAACGTTAAACTTTCAGTGCTTTGCCTTGGACACTTCATTTCTTTCAGTTTTGCTACCGAAGAGGTAAAAGGTGTAAATTATTTTCCTTCGCGAGCAAATGACCAATTTGAAAAAGGATTATAGATAACCGGCTTGTAAATTCAGTGAAATACCTCTATTTATCCTTACAATCAGTGTGAAGCTTGTTCATGTGTAAAAAAGTTTGAAAACAAATGTAAAAACAAGCACAAGGTACAAAAAAAGTTGTCAAAGGTTCAAACGTGTATGACTGACCTTGCTTCCTATTCGCTAATGCAATGATAGGTTTGACATTTGACTTTGAAATGGCTTTCTGGAGCGCGTGCTCAGGATAAAAACAAACAATATTATGGGTGTTTTCTTTTTTTTTCTGATTTTTATTTGATTATGCGATTCAAGGAAAATCCATTACCTGACTCATGAATTCCACGTTAAATTGCACTTGAAAACCGATATCGGTTTTCGTGTGCAATTTAACGTGGAATTCCCTCGTCAGGTAATGAATTTTCCTATAAAACTTACTAATATACGTGGAAAAATTTCTTGAATCAGATTGGCTTAGAGCAGTGCAGTTTTTAGTAAACACAGTACAAAAACAAGGAAACATAATGCAAAAATAAGGAAATAAAGTGCGAATTTCTCAGAGAATGAAAACCTGTGATTGGCTAATAAACAATCAGTGTTCTCCAGAAGCGCGGGCAACTGGCAGTTTCACTGGGAACTCTTTTCCAAAGTGCCAGCTACTCTTATGAGTCAAAACATAAAAAAAAACTGTCTGTAACTTTTATCTTCAATTTTTCGTAAGTTCCATTTTTTTCCGCGAAGGATAAAACGGCACCCAAAGCAAATCATGTTAATTCATTTCTTAGAATACTAGAACATGCAATTTTATCGGGAAAATAACAAACAAACAAAAAAGCCACAAGAGCTTGTTTGAAAGTTTATCGAAAAACATGAAAATACATGGAACTAAAGTGCCTTGAACAGCTACAAAAGAAGACAGTTGTTGTTTATTCATGGTTGCGAAGCCACTCGCTGAGAAACTTGCCGATAGATAGCTGCGGCTTGTTTATCTGACATGAAGAATATAAATCACAAGCAACTACAATACACGCTATGCAGCCATTCACTACAGCAATCGAGGCGTCAGTAAAGCTTCTTTTCTTGTTCAGCAAAACCAGCTTGTGGCTTCAAACAACGTCATAACAAGCGACCAAGGTAATAGTTTTTCTCCGTTGTTCTTACTTTTGTAACTGCTCCAAAAATCCAAATTCACAGTAATTTTGATGGCTGTTAAGAATTATTTTTCTTCACATTATCTGCCAGGTTTTTTTAGCTGTCCCGCTGTGTAAAATCCTAGAATCTCGATGAGTTTTTAAAAGTGTTCATCTTTACAATGTTTTGATTTTTCATTCATCCAGTCCAGGAGAGTCGGTTCATGCGTTGACAGTTCTGATAGACATGTGACATGTGAATAGCGGAACTCCCTTGTCTTTTCTGGTTTGTTCTAACAAGATTCAAAGGGATTTTGTGGGCGTTTTTAATAAAATAATTATTCCACTTGCGCTTGTTGGATGAGATGATTATTGCCAACTCGGCGCTATGCGTCTCGTTGGCTATTTTCCATCTCATATCCAACGTGCCCTCGTGGAATAATTGTTAATTATAAAATAACTAAGATAGTACGTGCATTCTGATTGGTTAAAAACCAATAGTTTATTGTGCCGGTAAAATCATAGAAAACTGAAACATGCTTTAAAGTTATTTTATAAAAGTAAAAGACCACATTTTCTAAAGGTTTGCTGGTGTGATAACCCACTTGGGATGTAGGGAGAAGACTGGAAAAGCTTGTAAACCACCAGCTTAACTTCTCAGATCTCTGGGCCTCATGCCCCCAAACCCCCCCTTAGATACGGTACTCTCGCTTTACCAGCACTTGGTGTCAGGCACCAGTTACTTTACATTGGGAGCTGGCTACTCTAAAACTTCTGGAGAACACTGAACAATAGAAATATATAAGAACCAATGAGCCTCAGGTGTCACAATCTGCTTGCTTATCTTCTTAGCCATGGAAGAACATGAAAGTCAGGTCCTCCAGGTTGAATGTAGCAGAAAATGCTCTCTGCTTGGCGAACAAGAGCAAAGTCAATCAGCAGGTACTGATATAGTTCATGGTAGATGGTATTTATTATAAAACTTAATAATATACATGGAAAAATTTCTTGAATGAGATTGGCTTAGAGCAGTGCAGTTTTTAGTAAACACAGTAAAAAAAACAAGGAAACATAATGCAAAAATAAGGAAATAAAGTGCAAATTTCTCAGAGAATGAAAACCTGTGAACAATCAGTGTTCTCCAGAAGCGCAGGCAACTGGTGGTTTCGCTGGCTACTCTTATGACTCAAAACAGTAAAAAAAAACTGTCTGTACCTTTTATCTTGAATTTTTCAGAAGGTCCTAAAAGAAACAAAAACAATAGCTTGTCGTACAAAAAGCTCTTTGGTGTATGACAATTTGCCTTTTGCTAATGGTATTATCGATATATTTACTGAATGATTTTTGATGAGACATTGCCAGATAATATTTTTTAATTATAAAATAACTAAGATAGTACATGCATTCTGATTGGTTAAAAACCAATAGTTTATTGTGCTGGTAATCTCATAGTAAACTGAAACATGCTTTAAAGTTATTTTATAAAAGTAAAAGACCACATTTTCTATGGATTTACCAGCATGATAACTCACTTGGTTCTTGGGAGAACTCTGGAAAAACTTGTAAATAACGAGCAAAACTTCTCAGATCTCTGGGCTTAATGCCCCCAAACCCCTCCCTTAGATACAGTACTCTCGCTTTATCAGTGCTTGGTGTCAGGCACCAGTTCCTTTGCTTTGGGAGCTGGCTACTCTAAAACTTCTGGATAATGTATCGGTCAAATCGAAGCTTCAACATGCCCCCCCCCGGGCAAGCCCCCGGGCATTTGACTTTTTTGAAAATTATTGTTCAAATTCCCCCCTACCCGGGCCCAAAATGCCGTTCAAATGCCCCACACTAGGGTCCATTCAGGTGATCAAATGCCCCCATCCTGGGGACATTTCACAGACACAAAAATGACAGAAGGACGGCGGAAACACCTTCAGAAAAAAATCACAAAATCACAAAATCTTTATAAATATAACAAAAACACTGTTAGCGTATTTACTACGAACAAAAAACTCATGCAAAGCGGCAGAAATCGCTGCTACAAGGTCACTGAATGCTCAGCTTTTCTTCATCATGCAACATCCAAAGGGTTCTATAAAAAACGATCCCCCCCATTGAGATTACTATATCATGACCATTTCACTGACATGCATCATTGCTCACCGTATAAATTAACATACTTGCAGTAGGTCAAAGTAGTTGACCTGAGCTTTTTATTTTATTTTATTCTATTTTATGTTGTAGTATTGAATCGCTGGCATAGGTATTGTATTTCATTGTAAACACAACAATAACATACATTCATACATTCAAAGCCTGAATCCAGTATTAAAAATTTTAAAATTTAAATACTTCAAAAACGGCACAATTTAGCTTGTTTAAGCCCTTTCCTTGTAACCAATTGGCCACAAAGGCACAATCTTTTCCTCGAAAATCCTCTAACACCGCGTCCCCCATGATAGCTCGTCACGCCAAAGATTTTACATGAAATCGAGGGTGTAGTTCAAATTCCCCACCCCTAAAGCCTGGGGATCAAATTCCCCACCCCCTGGAAGACTCTGATAATCAAATTCCCTCCTCCCCGGGACAGCAAAGGTGTCAAATGCCCGGGGTATGCCCGGGGGGGGGCATGTTGAAGCTTCGATTTGAGCGATACATAACACTGAACAATAGAAATATATAAGAACCAATCAGCCTCAGGTGTCACAATCTGCTTGCCCAACTTATTAAGATTATATCTTATCTTCTTAGCCATAGAAGAACATGAAAGTGAAGTCCTCCAACTTGAATGTAGCATGGAAAGCTCTCTGCCAGGTGAACAAGAGCAAAGTCATTCAGCAGGTACTGATATACCGGTAGTTGTTTATGGTAGATGGTATTTTATTATGAAAGTTAATAATATACATGAAAAAATTTCTCTCTGAATTTGATTGGCGTAGAGCAGTGTACTTTTTAGTAAACACAATGCAAAAACAAGGAAACATAATGCAAAAAGAGAGAAATGTAATGCAAATTTATCAGAGAATGAAAAACTGTGATTGGGCCAATAAACAATAGAAATTTATCAGAACTAATTAAGTGCCACAATTTGCTGGTGGGAAGCATGTATACTTTTAAAACTTCCCCCTTTTTGGTGTAATTAATTATGCTCTGTTGTCTTACCTAAGTAATCTTTCCTTTTTCTTGTAACACTTTTTTTCTCAATATTTTATTTTATGAATTTACCTGATTATTTTTATTTATTTATTCATTGTGGGTTGTTTTTGTTTTCATTTTTGTAACCAAGATTTTCAAATTAATAAAGGTGTGGGTGGGCGTGTGTGTGTAACAAATAAGAATGTTAAAACTTTCATATATATATTTTTTACATGGACTCAAAAGAGCAGCTATATAATCAGTGATTTTGTTACCTCTGCATTCTACCTATGTTCCTGACACATAAAAATCGCCAAAGACATAAAATAATTCATGGATATATCGATCTGAACGTGTGTATTTGTAGAAATATCCCGTACGTGTAATTTCTGTGGCAGTTATGGTTGTTGTTTAGTGATGCATATTTGTTTTAGCCTTTGTTGACTTCTGCTTTAAAATAGAAGAACTATATTTTAATTTCAGTATACTATAATACAGAGTTTTGGAGTGTGTCTTCAGATTAACTGTCTGTGGCTGGTACATAAAGGCCCAAACATTTTCCATTTTCGACTCATTTTTTTTAACTGGGACTCATTGGTTCTGGACTGGGACTCATGATTTCTCACAAGATGAGTCCCAGAATTCATAATATTTATTTGTAACAAAAACACTGTATAATTCATTGATTAGACCTTTTGTCATGTAATTCAAGTGTTGTTGTTGTGGTAAACATGACAAGTCATCATGTCTGTACTTAATTCTCCATGACTGGATTGTAGGATTTTTGTTCTGTTTGTATTTGATCGTGCATTATTATTGTGGGAAAACTTACCTTAGGGTTGCATTACTTTGACTAGGACAAAGTTAAAATACATTGAATTCTCATAGAGATAATTATTTTTTTGGATTATAATAATGAGTTCATTGGTTGGGTCACTCCCATTATATTTGATGACTGGTTTATGAAATATCAGCACTTAGAAAATGATTGTCAAGGTTATTATCCGAAGTTTCAAAAGTAGAAATATTGTGTATTTTCTATTTGAAATCAGGTTTTGAGAACACTTCCACAGATACAGTTTTATAATAGTAATTCTTGTACAGTTATACAAGCATGCAGTACTAGGGTGCGAAGAAAAGAAGGTCAGTTTTGTGCTTGTCCTTCGTGAAGGCTGTAGCTTGCATCTGTTAGCCCAAGAATCACAACTCTATTATCCCTCAGGCAAGATAAAAAATAGAATCCACTAGCCCCATAGCTTATATGAATTGTGTAGTTGGTTAATACAAATAATTCATTTACTAGGAGAAGAGTTGGAACAACACACTCCTGCAGTAGAAAATGGCCCAATTGAGGGAGCAAGCAATGTGCAGGAAACACAGCAACCTCTTCCAGAAGTAAATAATAGTAGCCACTTAGAAGATGACCGCCTAATTGCTACAGCAAGGGCAGTTGGTGTAGACTATGAGTTTCCAAAGCCTGGTGAAGTGGAAACGGAGGATGACAGAAGAAAAGATTTTATTTACTTGAATCCAGTCCATTCCTTTTTCTCTCCAACAACAATGATATATTTTAAAGAAACATTGTTATTATAGCTGGAAATTTCTTTCCAACCATGTGCACACTCATTGGTTATTTCAACGTCACCTGACATCTAACAATGAAACTTTTTTGTGCCAATATTCTCTAAGCAGGCAACATCGCAAAAATCATTCACATCAGAGGGTAACAGTGCACTATTACCCGTGAATGACCAACAACTGACCTTCCAGGGAGGTTTAATGAATTTCCATGCAGCTATAAATTTTTTAAAATATTAACATCACAAATCACTTAAAGACTTGGCCCATGGGAAACAGTTAATTTTGTTTTCCAAGAATCTAAATATTTCCCAGCACCATTCTCATTAGTTACTTCGAGGTCACATGACATCTAACTGTTTCCCACCACAATCTCTGAGGAATTGCCAGGCTAATTGACCAGCTGCTGTGGAAATTGGAGAATGACTATATGAATGGTTTGGTACGTTAGGTACAGTGCCAAAGTTGCATTGATAACTGTGGTGATCTTCCCTGAATTTATTTCTTCATTCTGCATTGCCAGTATATGAAATTAATGTATTTATTATACCATATATAACTTTGTTGTGTGAATTCACCTTGGATAAGTTAATCTTTTCATGTGCTGTTTTAAAGTTATAGAGTTTTAGTTTTAGTTTCAACTTTTAAGACCTTTTTCTTTCCTGCTCTTTAAACCTTATCTAACTACGTGGTACTTTTTTCGTAGTTTTCTTTGACTCCTCAGGCTCTTCTTCCTTGGTCGGGAGTGGGTTGCGGCTACACGTAGGCTAGATTACATCCCGATACCGACTGGGGGGTATCAGTATTTGCAACGAGGTTATATCGTATTGTGTACCAGTGTGAATAAAACGATCTTCATCATCATCATTATTATCGTTATTATTATTGCAATGAAATCGGGAGCTCCGCTTTTAGGCTTGGCTAAATCTATATATTATTCTGGAAGGCTGAAAACAACAACAAAAAACTCCCCTTTCGGGCAGAGCCTCTGGGTAAAGGCCGTTTTGCTGAGTAACCCCCGCGCTCATAACAAGTTTTGTGTGTGTGTGTGTGTTTTTTTTTTGTAAATCACCTTCGTTAAAGCCTTTGCCTCAAAAAGCATTGGCGCCACCGTCATAAAATCACTTTGAAAGTTAATCATCCTGTCTCTTGCTGTTGTGTCAGAATCATCTGCGTACTGGTACTGAACCAGCTGCTCCACGATTTTGTTTTGTGTGAGTCCTTCCAAGAGGGTTCCTGTCACATTTTTAAACTCTTCTTTTGAGACTTGGCTGGCATTCCCCAGCCTCAGAAAGACGTCTAGAGATGACTCGTGGGTTGTAAATCCAGCCATGGTTTCAACATTATCAAAATCTTTTTTCTTTTGATACAGCTTCTGGGGAGATCCTTCTATGAAATCATCATCAATAACGGGGTTGCTGAGTTCCACCAGGGCTTTGGTAGGGATACTAGATTGCAAAGAAATGATTTCCTCAGCACTTTTTTCACGAAGACAGGTGATGAGGTTGTCGTCAAAAGGGCAGTTTGCAGCAGCAGCTAGCTTTTGTACTGACTCGTTTCCTGTCTTTCTTGGTAGGTAGGGTGCTGACGCGGCACCGCTTTGCATGATGGCCCTTTGGAACAGATCTTTTGATTTAGGCGAGATTAAATGCAAGGCGACACTCGTTGCTCCTGTACCTTCACCAAACACAGTCACGTTTTTGGGATCACCTCCAAAACGGGCAATATTGCCTCGAACCCACCTCAATGCCTGAATCTGTGGAGAGAAATCAAATTACAATAAGTGAAGTTGATTGCTCTTGATAAAAATTGCCTGGGAATAGAAGGGCATTTATGAATTCTACGATTATTAATTTTACCAAGAAAATTAAAAATTATGACGTTTTGCGTAAATTTGATATTGGATTTAAATCCATACCAGGTTAACCTTATTAGGGAAAGGCCGAGGGGAGCACAGTGGTGTTGCAGTGCTGGGATATTTTTGGCATGAGGAATCGATAATTTATGTTTGTAGTCACAGTCTTCAAGGTTGAGGGAAAAACTGCGTAAATTACATTGTAAATAAGGTGGCCATTAAGTAAAATATATTAAAAAGAAGCGACTTTTTAAAACACACCTATAAAAAAATTGCGAAAACTGACTTTTTTTTAAAACATTTAAGAAATTTTTAACTAATTAAAAAATAAACGACGTTTCGACGTTCTTGGACGTCATTATCAAGCAAAAAAATTCATTAACTACAATAAAAATTAAAAAAAAAAAAAACGATGAGAAAGGGGAGTTGATTTTTCACCTGTCCCCAGACCCTTTCCCTTGCCTTCTCAAACGTCCTCCCTTAGTGTGGGGTTACAAGGCCTGACAATTTTAAGTAACATTTCTCTCTGTTACCTGATCCAACATCCCATAATTTCCCTTTTGGTCCTTCTCAGGAATGTTCAAGAATCCCAGAATTCCTAGCCTGTAGTTGAATGTCACGACGATGACGTCATTATAGCCTGCTAAAACGTGAGCTGGATATTCCGTAGAGGAACCAAGAGAAAAGCCACGGTATTTAGGAGAGGAACGGCTGGCGAAGCCACCGCCATGAATCCACACCATCACCGCCATCTTGCCTTTTGAATTATTTGGCACAAACACATTCAAGAAAAGACAATTTTCGTTTTCTGTGAGAGTAAAAGAATAAATTAAAATTAACGATAAACAAGGACCCTCCTCTTGCAAGCTTTAGCTAGCTAAATCTCCTAGTTTCTCTTGCTTCTAGATCAGTATTCTTAAAGCAGAGCTTGTTGAACTTATGGATGGAAAGCAATCGCCTTTGAGAACTGCCTTGACACACTTCCAATGACATTCGAATACTAAAAAACTTTATTCATCTTACCGTTTCTTTTTTCTCTCTTCAAGTTGGGTATATTGAACTCCGGTTGTGGACACGCCGCTCCAAACTCTTTCGTTTCTTTGGTTCCTGTCCAATTTTTTGGGCGTCTTGGAGCTGCCCATCTGTATTCTTTAACCGGAGCGTCAGCATACGGGATACCAAGATATTCATACACGGTTTTGCCATTTGGTAGCGTCTCCAGCTTTCCAACAATTGTACCTGATGTGGTGTTTACCTCGGGAGCGCTGTCATTGGCTTGGATCTGGAGGGTTTTGTTTTTGTAAAAGAAAAGCAGCGTTACAATTTGCATCGTTAAGAAATAACAGACAGAGAGAGGTAATAACCCGGGGTAGATAGATAGATAGATAGCCAGAAGCTCTGCTAAGAAAATAGACCCTCATTGAACTCCAACATCCAGCAAATCACTCCATATCACGTGTCTCCCAGAGGGCAAAGAAAGTGTAGGATGGACAAAACCAACCTTAGAAACATGGACAAGGCAATGCAGAATGTACAACACATCAGATCTATAAAATAGGTCTACGGGCCAACAATATAAAGAAATAAATTGTCAATTCATTAAAAGGAAATGCTGTTAACTTTACGAATTATATTTTTTGTACGTTTTAAAGGTAGAAACGTTTATTGCCCTAATTTTCACGTCCATTTGTTCTGTTTATTTTTAAAAGATGCCAAGCGATCTAATAAAACAAAGAAAAATAAACAAGCAACTACAACAAAAGCAGCAGCAACAACCTCAACAACGAAAACAGTAATTATGGAGCTATTTTGAAAAAAAAAACCCTTTTTGTATCTTGCATATTAATATTTTGTTGAGTCGGCATGCATCAGTATGACAATTACAGCTAGTTTAGAGAAAAAAACTACTTACCTTAGGAGACGGAATTGCTTGTGGGCCTAAAATTAACAATCATAGATTCAGTATGTTACTTCTCTGTATAGGAGAGAATGAAGAATGCATTTCAGACTTGTGACCATCGAAGGGTGAAGGTGATTGCTCTCGTCTTGGAATATATTTGTAACAAAATATCGAATTTTATTTCCATGTAAAGTTTCTTTAATCAGGGTTTTTTCTTTATACTAAAGAGCCACTGCATATAATACTTTTAATGAAAGAACTGACAACACACCCTCGCGCAGAACACAGTTTGACTTTGTTAAGCCCAGCGGCAGTTCACGGTCTTTTATAAGAATCGATGTTTTAAAGAATATCTTCAACCCGAGGTTGAGCCTTTTGCAAAGGATGTATCAAAACGAAAAAATACCTGGACTAGCGATAGCCAAATGTTAAATGAATGACTTCGATGAGCAATACATGTAATACATATGTACAGTATACAACACGAAGAAAAGGAATGAACTAAGCCGCAAAGAGTATCATTACAATAAATTCTTTCTTTCTGCAGAAAAATACAATACTATTTTCAGCCTAAAATCGGCACATAAATAAGAATATTCCGCCTGGACAAGAAAATCATTATTATTATGATTATAATTATGATGAAGATGATTATGATGATTATTATTAAAGCAGTTTACGACGTATTCATGCTTAGAAAATTAGCCACACGGGGCGCAAAGCGTAGCCTGTTATGCTCTTTTACTGGAATTCAACTCTAAAAAGGTGATAACGAGTTAAATCTACACTGGTGTAATAAAAAAGAAATCCCAAGGAATCCTAAAACTAATGCAAACCTAAGGTTTACATAATGTAATATGATAATGAATTATAATTATAGTATTAAAAAATGAAACTAATAAAAGCTTAATATTTTTATGATAAAAATAAAATACTAAAGCAAACGTAAAGCTTATCCGATCCACTATCTACTGAATGTCCGAGCAATGTTCAGAGAGCTGGATAGCACAGCCTTCTGCATCCTCTTGAGAACATCTCTCGATCGCGCTCAAAAAATCTCATATCGACATCTAGCTCCTTGGACCACCTTCCCCCCACCCTCCCCCCAAAACGTCGATGGGTACTATTTGGTAAGCTCCCACGCGCGATTGTCCAACCATGGACAGCTCATTTCAACAGCCAACACCCTCATCGCCGTGTGGTCCACAAATCGTGTGTCCATCCTGTTGGCGTGCACAGGAACGTCCCAGTATGCTTGAGCTTCTTGTGATTCTCAAAACGGTTTAGGCTCCAACCGTGAGTACCAAGTAGGAACAGAGGTGGAAAGCTTGAGGTCCCTCAGCATATCAAATTACAGCACCTTTAGTGCAGCATTATGCCTGTCCATGCACTTAGTTTGCCCCAGCGATGGACATCCCGACAAAACGTGAGCAAGGCTTTCTGGTGTCACTGCACATTTTGCACATGGTGTTAGTTTGGTCTAAAGTACTGGTCTCATAAGCCGCATAAACTCGGGTTGGCAAGAGCTGTTCATAAAGTCTCGTAACCCCTGCGCTAGTATGAGTAGGAGCGCACGCCCACCCACTCAACCAGGCAAAACAGCCGTGTTCACTCAGCTGGTCGACTTCCCAACTAGTCCATAGCAGACGTCCTTGCCATCTCTGGTCTTCCACCTTCTCCTTAAGCTTCTTTTCCACAGCTTTCTTAAGATGTTAGCTCACCTGATAGTTACTGATTTTCTTCTCTGGGACTTGCTGAGAGCTAAATGATGGATCGGGAGTGGCCAAATTCACACAAGTCGTAAGTTTCCCCAAACTTGTGCGCGTCTTTCACAAGGGAAGATAATCCCTTCTCACATCCTTTTTCTTCAAAAATCCAGACACTTCTCATCATTTGGTCTGGATTCTCATACGGCCTCATAGCCATCTTGGTCTTAATTAATTTGTACTCTTGTTCTACGAATTAACGTGACTCGACCTAGTTTTTTTGGGGGGGGGGGGGGGTACCATCCTAATTTGAAGCTCTCTGGTATCCCCACCTTTACTTTATCGTAAGTCTAACACATAGAATGGATAACATATAGATCAATCTACAATATAACATAAACTTTTTGGCGATTGGAGTAAATGTCACGTGGTTATAATGCCACCTTCCTTTGAGGTCTGAGTCGAAAATCTGCTGTTGCCGGTATTTTTTCGTGAAAATCTCTCGGCTACATGTAGTGCGCATTAGTGCCTTGCGCTGAACAGAGTTTCACCAAAATCGCAAAGACCCAATTCGAGAAATTCAAAAAATGCCGGCAACAGGAGATTTTCTACTCAGACCTCAAAGGGGCGTGGCATTATAACCACGTGACATTTACTCCGATCGCCAAAAATTTTGTGTTATATTGTAGATTGGTCTATATGTTATCCATTCTATGTGTTAGACTTACGATAAAAGTAAAGGTGGGGATATCAGAGAGCTTCAAAGTAGGATGGTACCCCCCCCCCCCCAAAAAAAAAAAAACTGGTTCGAGTCACCCTAACTCCACGACCGCTTTTATTTCTTGGAAGGTACAACACTGCAGTGGAGCTAAGAGGGTGTCTCCGACCATTGTCACTGATCAACTTCCTTGTCTCTCTATCAATGCTTTGTAAATCTCCCAATGGCCAATGTTGGGTTCACACTGGGTATGTCAAGTACAAGCAAGGCGAACGAGTTTGTTGCCTCAAGTCGCGGCTGGCGTCGGACAGAAGGCTTGTTCAGATTAATGAGAGCCTTTGCAAGTACGTCTTTGCTGCTGCTGTAAGTGTGTAAGTGTTAACTTCTTGTCTTTCATCACGGAATCCCTCACACCCAGGAACTTGTGCTTGGCCTCAGTCTTAAGGTACTCGACCAGAGTTGTCTCGTCTGGTTTGAGATCTGCTTGAGCAATACAGTAGAGCTAAGGGGGTGTCTCCCACCATTCTCACATTCTCACAACTTTCTTGTCTCTCTATCAATGCTTTGCAGCTCTCCCAAATGGCCATTGTTGGGTCCACATGGGTTACGTCAAGACAAGCAAGGCGAACCGGGTTGTTGCCTTGACGCGGTTGGCGTCGGACAGAGGGCTTGTCCAGATTATTGAGAGCCTTTCCAAGTACGTCTTTGCTGCAACTGTAAGTCCTAATTTCTCGTCTTCCATCACGGACTCTCTCAAACCCAGCAACTTATATTTGGACCCAGTCTTAAGTTTCTCGACCAGAGTGGTCTCGTCCAGTTTGAGGTTTGCTGCATGTTCAACTTGCTTGCCCTTTCTGACATAGATACCTTTAAACTCGTTTGGATTTCACTTCTAGCCCATATCCTTGAGGTTAGCACTCCAAACTGACATTTCCCTCTCATTGGCTCTTACAAGACATTTCCCTTTTCCTCATGAAATTTCCATGTCTTTCTATTTAGGCCTGATAAAATGTTCATGAAAGTCTAAGTCTCTTCAATACTTTAGGGAAAAAAAATTCCAAGATGGCACCAGCAGGATTCGACCCCGGAGAATGGAATCTGTAGTCCCTCACCCAAACCACTAGATTAGCAAGGATTTGCAGGGAAGAAGTGGTTTGAGTTGGAAGTATATAGCATCAACCTTAACCCTAAATAGAAGCTAACCGTTTTTCGAGTCAGTGCTTAACCTTAATCACTATTCTCAGGGCTTAACCCTAATCAGTATTGGTATTCAATGCGGTTCCTACCTTTGTAGAGAATTACTTTTGTATGAATCATAATGTGTCAACGCCATTTTGGAGTACGGAGATGAGTATTAACCTATCCCGCATACCGGCACTGGTTGATCGTAGTACCCTGCTTAGCTTGCTCTCAGATGAAGCGAACACTTTAAGGTCGTCTACATACTGCAAGTGGGTCACCTTAGTCTCTTTGAGCTTAGAAAGCCTATAACTCTAGGTAACATTTAGTTTCCACGCAACCGGGTTTTAGACATAAAGTGACGAGACGAGGGCAAAGTGTCTTTCCGTTGGGCAGACCCTCACTGAATCTGATGGTCGGGGAAGTCTCATTCCCCTGCTTTATAGGAACTGCAATTCGGCTATTCCAGCTTGCACAGAGCGTCCGGATCTTCCTACAGAGCTAGCTGGGGAACCGGGGTATTTCCACAATCTCGTTTAGCCACTTGAGATCAACGGATAGTCATAGGCCTTCTTATCATCCACTCAAGCCATGCTTAAGTTCCGTTTTCCTCAATGGCAATCCTGTATGACCATTTTGTCAATCATTATTGTTATTATTATTATTATTAGTAGTAGTAGTAGTAGTAGTATCATTACCAGTATTGTCATTTTCAGTATCACTATAATCATTATTATTATTAAAAATTCTTTGTTTAGTCTTAATAATAATAATAATGGAATTTATATAGCGCTTATATATGGCTGTTCTAAGCGCTTAGTTACACTCTTACAGTCTTACTTACACTCTAAAAAATAAATGGTCCTGGCGTCAGATACATGGGTTTTGTGGTCAGTTGTGTGTACTTCACATGTAATGGTCACAGTGTCACCAGCTGTTTTCTTTGGCAAGGTGCGTTTTATGCTCAAGGTGCGACTGGAAATGCTTACAACCTGAATCCTCTTGTCTTCTAGAAGCTGACTCTCCGTTTTCGAACATTTCCTGTCTTTGTTACAGTAACCGATATTTCCGTCGGCTCCTTTTACTCTCCAATACATTTCCAAGTATTTGCTTGGGTCTCTTTTGATTGCATCACAATCCAGTGTCTGAATATCACCTCTAATGGAACGCTCTTGCCGTGTTACGACAGAACCTGAAAAATATGTCATAAAAATGATGTGATACTAACTTTAAAGGGTCTCTAAGGGTTTTTTCAATTCACTATAGAATTTTACCATTAAAATTGATTATTCCTTACTGATGAGATATTAAACAGTCGGATCCCCGCCTGAGATGAAAAGGAACAATAAATAAAATAAAAGAAATATATAAATAAAAAATGCGGACATGGCAAAATGTAAGGTGTTTATGCCGACGCCATTTAATGACGAGAGGGCTGTAAATACTATAACTTATTTGCGTCTGAACGTTTACGCGAGCGTCTCAGTCAGTATGTCTCGGTATGTTTATAATAAATCAAGATAATTGTTAAAGGAACAGTATCCCGTTACTGCGCATGCACCAAACTTTGATTTTTGGACAGGATGTCGCGAAATCAAAAGATGCGAGGAGAGTAAGATAATCTTGAAAAATCCGTTTGCATCGCGCTTGGTCGGGTTCAATACGACACTAAAACTTCTCAGGATTATAGATCAATGATATATTGTTCCTGTTAAGTTTCGATTTGGGCAAAATCTGGATTTTTTGGCGTTACTTTCATTGCCGTTTGCCGGAGGACCAAAAGATTGGAAGCACTTTGATGCCGATTGAAGGCTTATTTCTTCTGCTAGCTTCCATACAAACTCAGAAAATTGTGAAAGGAATACGCAGAAATGAAACAGCAACAATAAAGACTGTAAGAAAGAAACCGTTGAGACATTGATGTGACTGAGGAGATCTTGTGGAGGGGAGCTTCGTGAAGCAGAATGTTTTGCAACGACGCGTTAGTAAACTTTTAAATGAATCTCCGTACGGCCGACAAAATCGACCAAACAGGCGCTACACGTTTTGAAAAACTGGTGACATGAATCATAATATCGTTATTGACTAACCTTTGTGATGATTCATAGCGTTGAGATTGCATTTTTATTTATGTCTTTCAAACGTTTGAGGCTAGAACGCGAGCAAATCAGGCAGATATTACTGGACTTGGAGCGATTGACCTCTGACACGAGTTTCAAATTAGAAAATATGTTTTTAAAGCGAGCGGAACGAGATTTTCGGGTCGCGAGGCGGCCCAGCTAGCGATAAAATCGCGATGAGTCTTCGAACCGTGAGCCAAATTTTTATATAAGACGAAAGACATCTTCGAAAGTCTAAAATATTACTTGAGAATATAAACAACAAATCTCTGTCGGCGGTGCGGTCCGGAAGGAAATCTTGTCGAGTCAATTTGACAGTTCTTTTGTCTTTTGAAGAAAAAACAGATGACGCTCGCGCGTGCGCATAATCGGGACACTGTCCCTTTAATCATTCTATGTTGAGTAGTCAATTCCTTTTACTGTTGTATGAGCCTCAAAATTCTTTTCTTATTTATGTTTTATTGTAAGTTTGACGAGATTGCCTATCCTGTGGTATCTACTGTCAAAACTTGTCTCACTCGATCATAGTGAGCAGGATGGGCTCCTGAGTGAGTAAATTGTTGCTTTTACTTTGTTTCCTGTATTGTAAAAATGACTGCATCGATAGCAAAAATGTCTGGTTTCTTGGAGGTCGCTATCCTACACTTTTCACAGTCCCCTTTGCGTAAGATCGTCAGGATCGAGCGCTTACCGGCGCGGTACGTGTGGCCATCTTGGTTTCATATATGTACAGAGGGGACGGGCGTCGAAATTTTGACGCAGCCGGGGAAGGAAGGCGAGAAAAATTTCTTTCCAGTTATTTTTCCCGCTTCCTTCCAAACTGTCCCCCTCCCCCTAAGTTGATTTGAAACTCATCCAAGATGGCCGCCCGTAACACAATACGCAATCGTGGGCCTGGCCTGTGAACAGTCTAGCTATTACCATGATTACACTTTGCCGGAAATGCACCGGGAAAAGGAATTTCTCGGGAAAACTATACAGACAGGAAGTTCTTCCCGTTCAGTGAGGAATTCATGCGATCGGAGAAACATGTAAAACATCATTCCTACCTGATGTGTTATGAAGCAAATTTCCTGTTGGGAGAGCATAAAATAGCAATTTAACACTTTCACTTTCACAAGCAAACCAATACCGATGTATAATAAATTAGACACATCATATTAAGAGAGCGTCCATCTGAAAACCATGCAGAGTGGTCTACAGACCATCTCTCCGATTCCCTTCATATTTGGCACACTTATGCACCTTAACTAACTGACTTAGGATGTGGAACAGTTTAGCCCAAAATTCTATTGTTTTGGAGAAATGTCAATCAAACGGTTTAACGGTTAAATGGACTAAAATTTCATGCAGAAATGACCTCTTGTTTGATCACCTCGTGCACGCAAAATAATCAACCAAATGAAATGATTTTTTTTCGAAGGATTGCTTGCACCCTAAACATAAGAAAAATGGTCACTTAACTATTCAATTCTGTTTCGTCTTAGTAAGAGAAAAACTTAAATAAATCAAGTAAAACTGACACCAGTGAAGTATGGTCTCAAAAGCGACTCTTTAAAGAAATACGGCACTGTTTTAATAAAGTTTAAAGCCATCTTGAGTTAATCAGAGAAACATTCTTACGATATGTGGCAAAAAATCTTTGTAAAGTTACTATTTATTACTGTTATTTGCATTCCGAAAGTGACCATTATTTTTAACGCTAATGCAAATGAGGCCAACCATAAAATCTTGATTTAGCTGATATTTATCAACTTTATCCGACGGGTGACAGAAAAAATACTTTTATTGACATTATTACATTAAAATAATCCCGTGTCGCTTAAAACAAATTGTGTTTATGTAAAAATTCGGGTTAGTTCACCTTGCGATACAATGTAATTTTGACCAAAACACACCTAAACTGAGATTATGGCAGCACTAACAAATGACCTGGATTTCTAAACACGAGCAGCTTACAGTTAAATCGAATAGGACGATTTAGTGAATTTTTCTCTTACCTTCTTTTTTCAATATAAAACGCTCATGTTGTCGTCATAACCTCTAGCAATGAAACAGCAAAACAGACGTGATCAAAATAAAGATAAACGACAGGCCGTATAAACTAACAGATTTGATCCGCGGAATCAACTTCAGTCTACACTTCTGCCTTTGTTTACCAGGTACTTGAATAAAAATGAGCATAAGTCTTCTTTTTGTCCTGAGTTGAAACGAAGCTATAGATTTTGTTCTGAAGAGAAACTAGCAAAACGTTTGACCAGAACAACAGAAGGAAATGATTGCGTGACGTTTGACGTGTGGTGACTGCAGGTGCAGATCACATGATATCAGATTTCACACTTTCGATCCTGATGGCTGAGTGTTCTTTTAAGTGTTATTCTAGTAAAGAATGCGGTGTGTCCAGACGATACTCTGCACAAACAGCCATTGTGCCATTAAAAACGTGTACAAAAAGACGTTTTACCTCACCTGAGAGGTTGCTACAAAACAACGGCTAAAGGAGTAGATTTTGAGTGGAGACTCTGCCTCTACCGAGCAGGACTCTTCCAGGAAGACGGAGATTGTTTAACTATTTGTCCCTTACACAGAGATGAGTTCGGATTAGGCTGGCGACCAAGCAAAGCATGCAAATATCCACTGCATGACAGCAAACAAAAACCGACCAGAGGAATTACTAAACGTTTATCGGAAGAAATATATCAGAAATGGAATGTGTTGTGTCAAATCGGACAAGATTAGCTCATATTTAGTTTATTTGACATTGTTTAATTTAAAGACTAAGTTCGTAAAAAATCTCACTTCCTTCTTCGGATCTTTTAGGTATTTGCATGAAATGTTTGGACATGCACTCGAAGTTTGGACCATCTACGAGTTCGACATGTCAGGTAAGTACACATTACGTCATGATAAACCTTACGACAACTTGATCGTGGTTTTACGTATATTTACATAAACTATTACGGCAGTAAAGTCAGTAACAAAAAATGGTTTATTAGTTGGATTAAAAAAGGTTTCTATTAGAGAGCCATGCAGGTGTATCAGCTTTGGCCGCTTAGAATGTAAGTCTCTTTCTTGTTCCACCACGCCCTTTTGCTTAACGGCGCGGGGGACAATGAAAACTCGTTTATGTAATTTTCCCGGTTGTCCCGGGAAAGAGGGTTACTCTTCCTGCCAAGTCAACTTAAGCGAGCGTTGTTAAGGAAAAAAAAAACAGACGAACCAAAAATAAGAAACAAGACACGAGCCAAAAAGGGCTTATACATCAGGGTGATTGTCTCCTCTTGACGGAATCGACACCACTAGGCGCGTAACCCTTTCTGCTTAGTCAAATTTTTGATTCGCATTTAAAGGGTTGGCCAAGTTTTGTAAGGAAACCTAGGAACAGTTGGCTCGCCCATGGTAACTCGGCGTTTAAAACTTCTACCCAAGGAACGTTTCCACCATATAAACAGGGAACGTAGGTAAATTTATAACATAGGCAACAATCAATTTAATTGAATTGAAATTCGGGAAACTATAAGAAAAGAGTGCTCCTTAAACAAGATAAAATTTAGCTATAAAATAAACACTTATAAATCAATGCAAAGGGCTTGGCATATAAAAAGTGTAAGGGGCAAAAACAGAAGTAAGGTGACACTTTTTCTTTTTCTCTATACAAAACGAAATTGGTAAAGAATATAAGAAAGCCAGAAAGTGAAGTGTTTGAGGATGACATCGCTGAGGAACTTGAAACCAGTTTGTCCAGACCAAGACGTGTGCAGGTGGGTAGTGTCAGGTGCATGTACTATACTCTGTTATTTTAATACAGAAAGCCCAAACAAGTGATGATGATCAAGTGATGCGCTCCCCGCATGTGGAATTGACTTGTTCATGAAAAATCTAAACCGAAATTCATCGTTAGTGTTGCGGACACCTGCGCGTCACGACAAAGGGCTAAATTTCATTTCTTTTTAAGGTTCAACCAGGAGAATACTATAGACTGGAGAGTCACCTTGATGATATTATGACTCCAATTCCTGCATTGATGCGATCGCTATGTCTAGATGAAGAAGAGGAAGAAGAATACCTTCCAACACCTACACCAAATCGCGGGCTGGAAGTTCTAAATCAGCATATTGAAAGATTAAGCGGTGGAAGAATTAGTCCGGTGCGCTTTCAACTCACGCAGCCAATTCAAGATGTCGCCAGAAGCACGCGCTCCTACATAAGACGCAAGTCAAAAGAACTAGTAGGAACAACACTAGAATGTATTGCACCAGGGCAGTCTAATGAACTTCTTGCATTGGTCGCAAATCCAACGCCAATAGAACCTGAACCAGTAAACAACATTATGGCGACCCTGCTTTCACTTTACGAAGGCGCGACATCTTGGTATACAAAAATGACAATCTTGTCTATTTTTGCGCAGCACTACACTAAAACGCAACTGAAAGACCTGGTTCCAGGCCTCACAACTTGGCGAATTGATCAAGCAAGAAAGCATGCTGTGGTTGTTGGTGCAGGCCATTCTGAAGTTAGAGAACCCGTGATGCGTTATCGTCTTGAAGGAGAGAAAGTCGACCACTTCCTAGATTTTATAAGTAGCCCTCACTACCTTCAGGATGTAGCCTATGGTACAAGGAAGATAAAAATGTCATTTGGAGAATGTTTGGAGATACCTGACTTAGTGCGCACTGTCATTAGTTCCAGAATGGTCAAACTATATCAGTTGTATTGCAGTGAAGTTGGCTTTCAACCTCTTGGTAGATCGACCCTATTTTCTATCCTTAAGGTAAAGAAAAAAATAACTAGAGTAGTCTAAACTGTTAACTGTGATTTTGGTCAGAATTAACAAGAGTGTAAAATAGCGGCTGCAAGTACTCTAGACTCTTTGGTTGTGGGAAGCAGGATAAAAAGCCACGTTATGTAGTGATGTGTTACCAAATTTTTTCTTTCACAGATATGTGCAGCTTCCCAGAAAAAGTCCCTTGCCGGCCTTGATAACGTCACAAGCGAAGGTGCATCAGCATTTGATACATTGGAAAGGGTTGTAGAAACTATGACATCTCTAGGTACGCTTAAGGTGATTCATTAGTAATAGAACCTAACATAGATTGTAGATGAAACTTGGTACACTGATTGAACAAGTCAAGAAGATGGTAAAAAAGTAATAAAAAGTGGGGGTCACCGTGTTCGTTTTGACGTGAAAATGATGACAAATAGGGCTATTTGGGAGCATTTGCAAAAACCGCGGGCAGCCAAAACTAGACAAAAAGGAGATATTTTTTAGATGATGCTTGTGGTATCCCACAGAATTTGACTTTAATGTACGGTTTATCCACTTACGTACCAGAAAAATGCCTTTGTTTTTACTTTACGCTCTAAAGTGGAATTAAATTAGACACGCGCTATTCGACCCTTGATAGCTCAATCGGTACAATTTAGTAAAATTGCCAAAAAACTGAACATAGATTTGTGCCAATTTCTTTCTCATCGAAAGGAAGCACTGTCCTTATTAAAATCATGAAATAAAAAATGGGGGTCACCGTACTCGTTTTTGCGGTAGAGTTGCAGAAAGTGCGTACCAAATGCATTTTCTCCGATTTTTGAGAGAGGACTGGGGCGAGTTTCAAATAGAATGCATGGTAAAGGGAGAAGAAAGTATTAAAAAATCCGTTTTTACAGAATTTACATCGAGATATTACATTGAGGACACAATGTGATAAAGAAAGCGTTTAAATGAAAATCAAAGTGAGTAAGCACAAGTTAAACATCCACTATCGAGGTTCTCCGTGAGGAAGTCGAACTCATTAACACGCGTACTGCTTACGTTATGCACATTCCCAACACATTGAGTCTTTCCTGGACAAGAAACAACAGCAAGTAAAAATTCCAATAGCGTTTCTCTTCAGTCGACTTCATTTTAATAATGTTACTTCACATGCTCTTTTTTACGGAGGCCATCTTGTTATGCGCAGTAAGAGATGCGCAATGCAAAACTAGGGAATCACCTTAACCTACAACCTGTAAGTTAGTAACCAACCCCACCGTCTATTCTGCTTTTATGCCCTATTTAATTTTTGATCGCTTGTAGATGACTTTGCTAGGTGAGATTTAGAGTATAAGCCGATTTATTTGTACTTGCTGTAGGTTCATCTCTCCAGTGGGCTGATAACGTTAGACAAAGGGTACGAGCAGCTAAACGATACTTAAAAGCTGATTACAAACTTCATGTGTTGAAGGAAAGTCCCTGTGCTGATCACTGTATACGATTCGCCCTATCATCCGATGACGTCCAGTACAAAACGGCCCGTGACCATGAACACACTATGCAGTGTGATCGATGTTTAGACTGTGCTAACGTAGCTCACGACATCATTGCTGGACTAGACAGTGGTGATATTTCGTTTAGGTAAAAAATACAGTTGCATACTATTAGACATATGCCAAATATTTATGACTTTAAGGAAAACGCGACCCGCGCTTTTTGTTGCAAACATTAAGGTTGGTACCTTTGTCCCTAGCGTCTGTTACACGGGAAAAAAGAAACAACGACATCAAGAACAAACAAACAAAAAAGTAGAAGTTTGTCGCTTACGACAAGTGCCTTAACCTTTGTCTAAGGCTTTCTTCATTGTACGATATATTGTTAACAGCTAATGCACAAGACAAGTGAAAAAGCGCGAACAATTAGTATTCATTCCCTTTCCATTCTTCCCTGTACTCATCTCTCTTGGTGAAATCTCCAAAAGAGCATTTTCTGTAACGTTGTCATTATTTCAAAATCAATTTTTTTTTCAGTTACCAGGAGCAGAAAGAAGAGCTCAAATATGACATCGAGAAAGCCACTGAAAGAATTATGGACTGGAAATCGCACATAGTGAGAGCTACCAATCAAGAAAAAGCCAAAATAAACATTCTTGATAATCTTACTGAGCGGCAGGTGCTAGTGGTGATGGATTGGGCCATGAAATGGCTCCCAAGAAGCTACAGAGAAACCCAGGCAGAATGGCTTGGGAAAAAAAGAGTCAGTTGGCATGTGTCGGCCTGCATAACAAGACCTGATAACGAGGAAGCGGAATTTGACGTAAACAAATTTGCTTTCTGATTCTAATTATCTTTAAACTTCAAAGCACGTCACTTGAATTGATTTGTCAGAAAAAAATCAGTTTCATTCCTTACGAACAAGCCATAAACGCACGTGTAATGCTTTTTTTTTTCGTGCTAGCTGCTCTATAGAGGCATAGTTTTTGCGGAAGATGAAGTGAAAGATACATATTTTTTGCCCCAGTTCGTTGGAGTGCATGTAAAACAAACAGACATGTGCTCCGTATGTGGACGAAAACGCAGATCTAGTGAAGTGTTGTACGTGAGACAACGGGAATCAATGGCAGATCTAGGGGGAGGCTGGGTCCCTGGGGGACTCGGGCAACCACCTTCTTCTTAGGTCAAACTGAGGCCGCAAGGCCGACATGATATATAAGTTCTGGATAAGCAGAGACTCTCTGCTAAGTTGAAGGTGTGAATCCGCTAGTGAAAATACAGGTCCACTCAGGTTTAAGTTTGAACCATGGGCGCATGTTTCCCCCACCCAGGCTTATAAATATACCGCTGGTTACATGTAACTTTTCATGAATTAGCACCCCGTTTAGAGGAGAGCGAGAGAGAATTTACGTCATTTCACTCGGAAATATGACAAGATCGGGGTTCCTGGGTCTTCTTGTTTTTTTTTTCTGAGTTGTCGTTACTGGAGGTGAGCCGGGAGACAATGAAGGCGTTTGTAATCGATAGGCTACAGTTGACGTTACATTAAAAATTTTTAATGGTCATTTTGTTACAATCTTTTTGTATTTTTTTCTTTCCAAAGGTTCGGACTTTCGTTCACATTCTTGATAAAGGCAACCAAGATTGGTTTGCAGTCTTATCAATTCTGGAAGACCTTGTTCAGCAGCTTAAGCGGTTGTCCCCACTTCTGAAAGAACTATTTTTACGAAGTGACAACGCTGGCTGCTACCACAACGCTGCGTTACTTATCAGTGCGCCAACCATTACAAGAACAGGGGGGTTGGCGCTTAAGAATTACAGCTTCAGTGAGGCGAACAGCGGGAAACATGTCTGCGACAGAAAGATCGCACCCCTCAAAGCACACATCGGAAGATATCTTAATGAAGGTGACAAATAGTTTCGGACTATTAAAAATTAATAAGAGGCTGTAAAAATAGTAAAGTTATTTGCATTTCCGAAGACCACAAAAAGTCCGACGAGCAACAAAAAACGTTTTGCGTTTTAATTGGCCCGCCAACGGTTCACAGCACCCTTCTTTTCACAGTTTTTACGGATAATTCTGTCTTGTTTTAGGTCACGATGTTATAACAGCGCGTCAGTTAAAGGAAGCTATTGACTCCTATGGGGGAATAAAGGGCTGTCGAGCATCAGTGATTGAATTAGACACAAGAAAGCAAACAACTAACGCGCCCAAGTTAAGTGGTATTAGCCAGTTAAACAACTTCGAATATACTAAAGATGGTGGAATGACTGTCTCGAAGGCGTTTAAAGTTGGAGAAGGTAGGAAAATTTCCAAACAAGAGCTTGCTAAGGTGGGCCAGCCACAGAGTGAGACAGGGGTGAAAGTAATATTGCCTTTTTGTGATCCAGTTAACGCTACCGGGTTGTTAAAGAAAGCTTCGACGCGGCCGCCTGGTGACCAAGCCCAACAGACCGTCGTTTCTCCTACAAATGACGAGGGCATTCCTTGGTTCACTTGCCCCGAACAGGGCTGTATCAAGACGTTCAGAACAAATCAAACCCTTCAGAGACACTTGGACTTTGGCCGCCATGAGATTAAACTCCACGAAGAGTCACAATATGACCAGATCAGACACAAATGGGCTGAGCATTGCTCAAGTTTGAAACCACAAAATCCCTCCTGTGCCTTAAAAAGCCAGTTCGTCCTTTGGAGTAACGGAAGAAAATGTTTTGTCTATGGGGTGGGCGCAGACTAAATCAAAGCGAAGAAGCAGGTTTTCTGTTAAAGTTAAGAACTATCTGCTCGAGCAGTTCATGATTGGTGAAGAAACTGGTCGGAAAGTCACCCCTGCCGAAGCTTCAGCACGAATGCGCACAGTACGTACCGAGGAGGGAGCTCGGATATTTGGCAAAGACGAGTGGCTCACTCCCCAGCAAGTTAATAGCTATTTTTCGAGGTTGGCTGCAATGAAAAAAATCGATCAGCAACCAGCAGCATTGGTTAGTCTCGAAGAAGAAGATGCTGAGGCAATAGTCGAGCGTTCAGAAAGATACCACCTGCGCAGAAGGGTTCTCAACCAGCTAACGCTCTAAATTCAGTCTACCAGTCACTGTTTGTATCTTACTACACTGTCCAACTTATGTGAAACTGATTATTTCTGTATTGTTAGAAAAATTAAATCAGACTTAAGCTTGTAAATAGGCGAATGTTCGCTTTTGAAAGAGCGTAGGTTCACGTAGAAATTGCCCGCAAAAAAAGAGAGAGAGATGAGAGAAGTGGAGAGTACGCAACCCTTGAACCATTTTCACCGCAGGTTAATTGTTAATTGGGCTAAGGCTTAAAAACTTTCACAGAACTTGTGATAGCTTGACCTTGACAGCTCCCGTCATCAGATATGAAAGGACGGACTAATAGTTGCTCTCCACAGGTGTTGAGAGTGGTATTCATGTACATCGATAGCAATGAATCGCAATATATCTTAGATATATTGCCACTTTTCTAACATTATCGCTTTAGAATAGTCAACGATCTACTCTCCCAACCCTAGATTAGCACAATACATAGAGTTGCGATATAATAATAATAATAATAACTTTTTTTATACAGCGGTCATATAGCGCTCATATCCTGAGCTCATGGGGCTGATTCTGATTCTGTTATTCATAACAGAATCAGGGACATTATTGAGATGAACAATAGACGGGTAAATGTTTGACAAACACGAAAAATGTTGCATAAAAGATGGTGTTGTGAGATTTACGTAAGCGGAATAATACGTTCATATGGACTACAATAAAAATTACAGTTTTAATCAAGCAGGAATTTTTATTGGGTGGCGGTGTGTCAGAATGCCAAGCTATCATTAGCCTGCGATCGTGATTGCTGATCGCAGATTAGGCTGTCATCACTGTCTGGGAACCCATTCTACCATGCAGGCGGGTTTTGGCCGAGGAGCGACTGGGCACAAGTAGAACAAAATGGCGGCAAGTGTAATACCTGGTTCCTTGACCTCCATAATTTTAATCTTTAGCCAAACTGGACATGAATGCAAGCCTTAAAGAACTGTGCGTGGACATACAATTGAAAAGGAAGACCGAACTATTGGAGAAAATTTCAAACTTTACGATTTTAGGTAATCAGACTTTCGAGTCTGGCTTGACTCCTCCGTCGATCAACGTCGGCAGGTATCTTGCACTTCAGTTTCCAAGCTGCAGGACTTCGAACAGAGGCAGTATGTGGGTGTAATTTATATATGAAGTTAATTTAGTAGTCAGTGATTTTGTATGAAGTCCCTAGATCTGTCTTTGTCCTTTACTCACCTTTATTTTTTTTCTATACTTGAAATGAAACCTGTTGTCTTCTGGTGTTATTCCCAACGCACACATAGCGAACTTTTGACCGTAAAAATTGTATGTGGCATTTAACTTTACACAGTTTTCTTCGCATATTCGCTTTGTATAATGGCAATAAAAAAAGATAAGTGTTATTTCAACTTTATAAACAACGCCGCAATTTCAATATTCAACGATAATTTTACCACAAAATCCTTACTGTCACACGTAGTCCAAAAAGGCTGATTTTTTAATTATGTCTACTACTAAAATACAAAACGCCTGGACTTAATTATACAATTACGGGAATAACAAGTCATTACTATATCTAACATGATGATTTGATCGGGAAATGGTCAATACATAAGTAGAAACTTTGGTGTGAAATTGGGTAAAAAATTTAACCCTTTTTGAATAATACCTGTCGTGGATCTTTTCGATCGCAATATCTTCTACAAGTTAAGGAATTTTGCAACAATATTGCACACATGGTTTTATCACTTCAATATGTAAACCTACCTGAATATAAACAAAATCCGTTATGTTCACTGTAGACGGATTTTTTTATAATGCATGGTTTTCAGATGGACTCTCTCTTAATACGTAACTGTCAGTGTATACTCTAGTCTGCCTTCGCGAGTCTCCGACAGTTATCAGACTCTTATCATCTTTTAGACAACATAGCTTAGTAAAACACTTGACAACCGTCTGTTTCAGAGCGTACTTAATTGAAACTGCTGTAGACTGGCACTGGAAATGGCCCAACGATAATTTGCATTGACATTCCTTACATAACCTATCTCAAGCAACGGCAAAGCGATACCTTTCCTCTTACATCAGGCAAAAGTTTTGAACTATCAAACTAGTCAGTATTTGGTGCAAAGAACTGCTACTAATGTAATAGTTATCACTTTCACCCGGACACTAAGGGCCCCGCTAAAGGTGGATTCATGAAGCCCCCTTTACATGTAAAACCCTCCAAGATCAATCTATTGTAGCTATATTTCATAAATTCATTTGATTTTTTGTAAACTCACAGAGAGTTAAAGACTGAATAACCTATAAACTGTTTCGATGAAACCTTGAAAACATCATGCTAACGAAAGAAAGATCAACCTTAAATCGAAAGTACTTTCATATCCGTTTGCATGATCTTTGCCTGAGTCAAAAGATTCGCTGAAAGCTTAGCCTGCGTAGCAGGCGCTTGGAAGTAGCGGGCGAAAGAGAGAACGGATGCGCGCGAGGGAGACACGCAAGGGGTGAGGGAGAAATAAGCGTTGACAGGCCAAACACGACTCATAAGCTCGTGATAATGTGAAACGTGACCTTGAGAGTCTGCTTGAACAGTGGTTCTCTTTCTTTTTTCTCTCGCGCGAAGGTTACTAGCACTACACAGTGCAAGACGTGTAGCATTCTAAACTTTGACTGAGTAAATCTTGTTTTTGCCGCACTAAGTCTTATATTTAGAGGTCATGAAGCAGGTTTGTTACGTGCATACTGAGTAATCATTTCCTGTGGTTTATGCTTCTGTACTAGGTGTCCCTGACAGGATTTGATTTCAGATGCAGTTGTTAAGTGTTTTTTATCCTTTGACCTCTGTTTATTACGGCTGAATAAAGATTTTAGTTTTTTTGGTTTTCTCCGAAATGGCTGTATCTGAATAACTACATGCATGCATGCAAGTTTCTTTGTCCGTGAATGTGATTATTTCCTGCCATGTCAGTATGACTCTGGGCCCAGCTCTATAGTGTGGTTTGCAGGATTTTGAATTTCCACGGATAGTGCGATCTTCAGATATGAGTTGTACACTGTAGCTTAAAAACTAATGCTTCCTCTCCCCTCGCGAGTCTCCTTCTCGCGCGCCCGTTTTTTCTTGTGCACACTACTTCCAAGCGCCTGCTACGCAGGCTACTGAAAGCTTGGTTTCAGTATAGTTCCAGCGCATATTTACAGTTTCCGGCTTGAATAGTTCAGATGCTCAAGCGACCTTTTTTCTCTCTCTGAAAGGGAAGACGTATATCTCCTCTTATATTTTCAAGTTCTGTGGGAGAGAAATGGCGATGCCATTATTAATAAAGGGGGTTTTCCCTTTCAAGGCCTTTCAATATAGTTCATCAAAATTGTGTTTTTAACTCAAGTGGTATAACTAATTATTTCTTTCTCAAAACGGGAAAACTTGAAAGCACGCTCAAAAAACTGCACTTTAAATAATGCCAAATCCTCAGTGCTAATCTGATAACAGCTCGTTGAACCGGTACCTTGGATACTCTATACAATACATGTTAAAACGGAAATGACATAAGCTTCAGATTTCTCTCCCGTTAAGCTTCAATTTAAGGATAATAAAAGAATATTTAAGCCTAAATTCGGCAGAAAATAGGAATACTTAGCCTAGACGAGAAAAACAACATTATAAAATTATATCCTATCGAAAATCTCTGCCTCGGGTTTATTCTTGCAATATTCTTAAAATTTTGCAAATTTCAGCCTCAATATTCTTATAAAATATACTTTCAACGCGAATTTACCGATAATTTAGGAACAAACACCGTTTCTTGTTAGGGTGTGAAATTGGACATATTCGTTTAAACCATGATTACGTTATTTGTCAACAGTCAAACGTTTTATATTGACGTTCAATTTGCATTTAGTAATTAATAGCTTGATCAATTCCGTTATACAGGCATAACTGAAGCTGTACAGATCTGGAAGTGAACCCCTGGACAAATTGTCGTCTTAGGGAAGTTGTAGGTGAGCAGATTCCCAGAAACGCATAACACTCCACAATTCGCAGAGGCTTTTAGGGAAGGCCCCCTGTAACCGTAACCCGCTTACCCTAATTCACACTTTGGCACCGTTCTTAAAGTGACGAAGAGATATACCTATTTCAGACTCAAAGTTGAGTAAAAAGACCATATCCTTTAGCGCTTCACATTCCCGTTTAGCGCTTATGCAGTCTAAAGTGACAAGAGGGGCACCTGTTCAGTTCTCCTCTAATTTAAGTATTTTACTTATTTAACCACACACACTTATTAATAAAGAAAACCTTCACCATATCACTCACTACAGGAGAAGATTTAGACAGTCCTGGTCTGTGCCGTTAAATAACATTATGCTTCCTTAACAGCAAACTTTGTCAATCGTAAAGTGAAAATATAATCTCATTTATTCAATATCTGTTTTACTTGTTTTAGTTAAAAGACTGAAGCTAACAGGAAATACTATTTAAGGATCACGCCTTACTAGTTCATCGATATGAGCGGAACACGTAATTTAATCCAACTTAGTCTTATCCTTGATAAAAAAGCAAGCTGTTATAAAAAAAGAAAAAAAAAAGTCACGTGCACGGGTGCTTTCAACTTACCCCAAAGTAGCAATAACCACAAAGCTGAACTAGAGCTCATGTTGACCTTTTTCTAAAATGATTCTTGCAGTTGCTAAACAAGTTTCGCTGTTGTAATGCTTCGCCGACCAAGAATAATAAGACCGATTCTGCAAGAAAGAAAAAGGGACGAATTACTTTGTCATCACTGAAATCGTAAAGAAACCCAAACGGAGCTTTCTCTTTCGAAATCCACTCTTTCTCTTTCATTTCCTCTGCTAATGAATTTTTTTGTTCTCGCTATGCTTTAACGCAGTGAAGAAATTAGGTGTTTCTGAGTGAAAGTGACCAAGAAACGTTTTACGGCAATCTAGAGAATTAATGTTGAGTCCAATTTTGCACCCACATTGATTAATATATTGTTTGAGCCTATATTTTATTACTAAATTATTCGTGCTCCATCTTTCTGAGAGAACTGACTGCTTCTCTCGCCAAAATGGGCGCCCTTTTCAAGTTTCGTAATCTACTCATGATCTTTGCCGCCGCGCGACGTACTAAAAATAGTCAATTTCAAAAGGCATTTCGAATTCTTGCTTAATCAGCTTTGGGATCTGTGATCAATAGCTAGAAATGTACCCTCTTTAATGTCGAAATTCTATCGTAAGAGAAAATTGTACCACTGTGGTGGAAATACCAACAAACTATTTTGAAATGCATTCATCAATTTGCGTTCCTAAACACATTTTAGGCTTAAGCTGCCAGATCGAATCCTTCGTACGTGAGTACTACTATGCTTAATTAACCGTTATAACAACTTCTTTTTATGTTGTTTTTTTTCCCCTTTTACTCATGGTGAGGCACCCCTGCTAATATCCAGCAGGCTCTGACATTATGTTTGGCGGTATCTTTTTTAACACTGATTCAGATAATTTTCGATATGTTTACTTTGACCGATAATGATGAAGTGATCGACCAAATAATCACAAATAACAGAGAAATAATATAAACAATTTATACTTACAAAGGAATGGACCGACTAATATGACTAACTTACCGTCTTCTAGTATCTCTTTTCCGCTAGTTGTGTACTGCGCCCTGAAAGTGACTTCTTTAATGATTCACAAGTGTTTTATAAACATGATCATGTGACCTATTGTAACGTATACCCAAACAGGAAAAAAGAGAACACCAATATTGTTAACGAACAGTTTTTGAAAATTCCGGGTTAAAGGGTAAATGAAATAAACACCACTTTTGAGTCTTTTTAGGACAATCTGGGACCACCTATAATTTAGCGGAAACTTTCGAGTCCGGAAAAACGGGATCACCTGAAAAAGAATGTTCCAGACAGAAATGCATGTTCTTCTTCCTCAAACCCATCTTTAATACCTGTTTTGGTAGATGCGACTCCCGAACGTACCTGACCAAAATTTTGTTTACCGTTAATATGCGATTCGTGTACGGACTGGCTTGCAAATTTAACTTATAAATCTGGAAGCGCTTAGATTTGATATATAAAGTTCACATTTTCTTCAATGAAAGGAAAAAAAACAATGTTCCCTCTTCTGTTTGCTTGTTTTATTCAATGAAATTTGCTCGTTTTAGGCTTTTCTTGATACCACTCGATGTAAGTGCTATTAATAATTCCCTTTTCCTGCTCCGAAGGACATGCTCCGTCACGCAACAATTGAAGTTAGAATTAAAAGATCTCAATCACACACTACTTCCCGTAACTCTAGCTGGGGTCGACTTAAGTGTCAATCCATATGAATCAAGTACCACCAAGCACTGAACCGTAACCATTGAACTCATGGTGAATGTATATAAGGATAGTGTCAGTCCGATACAAATCAAGTACATTTTTCATCGAGTTCTGACTTTCTTGACTGTCAGTATCGAAATAATGATGGTATTTCGTCCATTACAACTCAAAATGGTATAATTTAGTGAGAAATATGCTTTAAAAATAAGAGACAGTGACCAGCTGATTAACGTTAAATCAATTTAAACCTGCTTATTATATACTGTACCGAAACCATTAAATTCATCGTGAATGGAGTTTGATCATGATAAATCAACAGGAAGAGGAACAACTAAGATCACAGGGCGTGCCGAATATTCTGATGTTAGAAGTAAAAGGAAAGGCGGTAAACATCTTTTAATGCTCAAGTTAAGTAGCCGGAAGTGGTTGTAATTCTTTATCGAGGGGTAGGCCAAGGGAGAATAAAGAGAGAGTGGCATCCTGTCTTCAACGATTAAATCGAAAGGACTGAACTGAAAACACTGACTGTTTTGGTCTTTCTTAATTCCTACTCATTTATTACTTATTGTCTTTAGGGGAGGAGAGAATCTGTCTGCATGCGGTGGGACTTTATTTTTCTTAACTGATCAACTGCAAATAAACTCAAAAAATACTGTAGAATCCCTAGTGTAACTCGAACTCCGATAACATGAACTCACCGCTAACTGAAACCATTTCCATTGGATTTTTTCAGTCACTTTTATTCGGCTCAGTATTTCGACATTGGATAACTCGAATTTTTCGCTAGCTAGAGCTATTTTGTTTACCTTGATCCAAATTTACCCCGATAACTCGAATTCTGGCTGTTATAAGTAACCAGGGATGCCATCCCAATATCTCTTTTTGTCTGCAGTAAGTAAAAACCCTAAAACTCGGCAGGCTACTGCAATTTTAATTTAATTATTGCAAAGAACGCATCAAGTATTTGACAGTCATTTCGCAAACTTATGAAGTATACCAAATCATCAGAATAAAAAAAGAATGCTTGATGTTACATCTGACGAGATATTGATGTGCTGAAAAATCAGTTGACTGACTCAACTATCAGTTCCTGCATCGCAAATTGAAAAACATTATTTAATCGACCTCGATAACTCGAGCCCCCACTAACTCAAACCTCCCTTTAGTTTACCTTCAAAGCTCGAGTTATAGGGATTCTACTGTACATTATCATAATTATATAGTTTTCCAAGATATAGTTTATCACGCGCAAGTAGAACTTTTGAGGTACATTGTATTATTTTGTTCTATCTATCAGGATCTCTTTCACTGCCGGTTCTCTCGTCGACCTCGAATATCTTAAAAATGTTCTCTGAACAGATCAGAGCTGCAGGATGTCTCAAAAAAAAAAAAACTTCCTGTTCTTACTGCACAATACGCGGTTTCGTCGGGGAAACCCCCTTTAATAGCTTTGGCAAAATTATCAACTAATTGCTTTCATTCAGTTTAGTTTTACTTACGAAGCCACACCAACCATTATCATTTGGGCTAAATTGTTGTTCCGTACCGATCGACTGATTGTTTGACTTCAAAACTATGAAAACCGTAAAAAAAAAAAAAATAATAAAAAAAATAATAAAAAAAATTGCAGCGGTCATCAAATAGTCAAAAATACGATTTATTTTGTTCACCCGCGTGGAACAAATCCATATCTACGCTTTACATAATCAGTCGGCTACAACTGAATACTAGAAATTATCCCTCGAGATAGGTAGTCGGACTATCCGAGACGGTTACAGTAGAAACCCGGAAACTCGAACTCTCAAGGGAAACGAAAAACAGTTCGAGTTAGCGGGAGGCCTATTCTGCCAACTAACCTGCATTAAATCGCCTAAAGCCACAGAGGTTGATTGTCTCATAGTTATTACTTTTCTGGTTTTCTATTTCCAGAATGCATCTGATTTCTCATTTCTCATGAAGTCACCAGTAATACTTCACAGCCAATAATATTAGCCACAGACCCACCCCCACTGCTCCTGCTAGCTCCTTATTTAGACATCGAATTATTTTAAGCAATTAAATACACAAAATAATAAATAAATAGTTACGAGCAATATGCTTATGCAAACATGACTACAAAAAGTACACAACTTCAGTTAGTCACGTCAGTTCTACAGGTATTTTATTACAGTTGAGCCTGCACTAACGACCACCTCTCCACAACTGCTACCTCTCTACAACGGCCACTTGGGGGTGGTCACGGGAGATGGACGATTGTGGGGAGCATAAGTAAAAAGGTGCTGAAAAGAACGCGGATGATGGCGCTGTCGGGCACGCTCAATATCGTTCTGACATTCAGTGTTGTGAATTGAGACATAATTGAATGTATTTTTAATTTCCACGATTGTTCTTTTGAATTTAGTTGTTTTGCATGACGAGATCTGAAAGAAAACGTGATCTAGAGTACTAAAAAATGACCCACATTGAGAAAACAAAACATTTAAGGTAAATAGGTCTTTTCCACGCGGGTGAACTTGACTGTGTGGTCTGCGGATAGATGGAAGTTCTAATTAAGGAACTAAGGTTATTGTTCAACTGCTTCTTCATTTTTTTATACTGTTTCTTTCTCACACCATTTCTCCATTTTTACTAGTTAATTTATCTATTTAATGATTTATCTATTTATCAAACACATTAGAAAAAATTACTCGTTAATGGCTGAGGAATAGGAGACTGAGTGGGCCGAAAAAGGACAGCGAACAATTACGAACATTTAACTTCACTCGATTGCTATACCGAAGGCTATTGTTTTAATGAAACAAATAATAATAACAAAAAATAAAAGCAGGCCACTATTGTTTCACTATTGGAAAATTCGCCATTGCTCCAATTATACATACTGATGCATACACACGAATAGAATACTAATCGTGATCTAATGTGGCAACTTAAGATAGGTTGCACATTTTCACCGGTTAATATCAAGTTTAAAATATATAAAATTACAGTATGAATACTACCTAGAAACTGGGGGAATCCTAAGTTCTATTTAGATTTACTCATTTTTATTCTATGCAACTGTTCTCATTTCTTAAAATTTGTGTTAAATCTATTTTAATAGTCGATGGGTTTTGTCACTATTCTAAACAAAAAGGTCTTTAAAAAGAAAAAAATGTTTTTCAAATTCAGTTTCTTCTCACACTAGAATTTAGAAAAGTAAAAACGCAAAGTTTTATGATAATCTTTGGACTGTACTACACTTTGCTACTCCTTGCACAATTGTACTCCCAAGCGCCATTCTTATTCATGGCTAGATATCTCGGACATCGAATTTCGTGAGATTTACTTCCGTCTGTCACGCAATGGACAACTCCGCTGGATTTTTGGGTGTGTTCAGGACACATTGAGTAGCGAAATTCAAAGTTGTTTGTAGTCCAACTGAAGCCGCTGACTGAAAGTATTGCCCAAAAAAATGGCGGCAATAAACCGTCCGTGAAAGAAACTTTTCAACGAGTAGTGGTTTGCGGGGAAATTTGGATGAATTTTAGCCAAGATATGGCACAGCGAAGATCTTAAGGGTTAGCCGAGAATGGCTTGGACTATTTTGGCTTGTTTTAGACCACAAGAAAACGCAGCAGCAACAGATTGCAGAGAGAGGTCCTGTAGCGTTAAAGCTTGGCTTCAATAGATTCAAAATCGCAGTGAACAAATTTCAATTAACGTTACGGCGGGAGCCGGGAGTCATTCATCAAAAGCTGGATTTACTGTTTTGAGCATTCCGCCATACTGTCCTCGTGGAAATATTCTTCGGATCTTCAAAGATGAATTACGCATCGATTACGATTTGGAGGGGTGCAATCAGTCTTTGCAGTACTTCTAGGTTTCCTCGATTGCTAGCAGAATCGCAGTGAGCAATATGGATTTTTCATTCAGTTAATAAGGTAGGATTGATTTTATATCTTTTCTCCCAATAAATCCTATAAACATTGTGGCGTTTTGTGACGCAATGTAACGCAAAAATACTGTCTCGAGAGCGCATGCCTGTCCAAGATTTCTAGCCATGACAAAAACTTAAATAAACGCCAATCTTCATGCCCTGTCCAAAGAACTTAAATTTCAACATATATACCTCATACCTTTCATTAATTCTTAGTTATGACGAATAGAGCAAGCAAGTACTTGTAAAGTGTACACATACAATGTAAGAGCATGGTTTTTTGCTTTCCCAAGACAACTAAGTATTCTGTAGTAAGACTTGCAATATAGTTAGCGGTGACTGATACTTAAAGGGACAGGTTCACGGTTCAGCGCATGCTCATTTATCAAAATGCTGTTTTCATGCTGGGAAATGCTGTATTATCTATGCAAGCAATATGATCATGTCATAATGTTGTCAAAGAACCAATCTGCACACTCCCCAGTGGCACTCACTTGATCAACTTGGTGCAAATAGCTGTAAATTAATCAACCACGGAATAAAACCTTCGGGTCAACAATAAACTCAACGTTGGTAGTGTTGGCATAATCCACTGATCTTTTCTGCAATTTTAGTACTCCTCCATCCTACTTCAGGTTATCCTGAAATACACTTCTTCTTTGAAATACACTCTTAGATCGCTGAGATACATGTAAGTGGGATTATTAACCGATAGAATTAATAATAAATTGGAAAAAAAGTAAATTAAATAATGACCATGCGCCTAACCGTGAACCTGTCACTTTACTGTAATTGTGTACTTTGGAGAGTATCTGGAGAGGGTACACTGCCAAGATGGCTGGCTTCCTATTCTTTTCTCAACCTTGTTCCCAGTATCCTCTCAACCCTGCGAACGAGGTTGTTCTTGTCCGAGTGCAGCAACAGCTATTGTCTGTTTAACATTAATTTTAAGAGTTCCAAATTTCTTAGAGTCCAGTAAGAGAGTTTCGAACTCGTCGTGGCCGCTGAGTAATTATTTCTGTGGGTTAGCCTCGGCCTAAATTGAAATATTTACAAATACTGGCGAGAAGGTGCCTGAATTTGAGTGTAAAAAGCAATAGACACAGTTGTACAAATGTCTTCTTCTGTCTGAAATTTGAGAATATATTTACTTTAGGTCGAGGCTAACCCTGTATAAACGAGTCTTCAGTGCTTCTATTCAGCGGCCACAACGAATTCAAGAGTCAGAGGAGTTCGAAATTAGACCTGACTTCATCGATCTTACTTTTCCATCAAATGTTGGGTCACCCACTTTCTAAACAAAACGTCTGGAGTCGAAACATCCCACTGTATTTCTATCTAAAGCAGATAGCGGAGGCGTAGCCAGCTTTTCGACTAGTAGTAGGCCTGGCTGACTTTCATTTCCACATATCCTGAAAATTGCATGCATTACTAGTACGCACTGACCTCACTAACACTTTGAGCTCTTAAGCTTATTAGCTCACCCTATCAACCCATAATTTACTACAACTGAGAGATCAAACCAAAAATCTGTAGGCCGGGGCCTACAGGTCTGTGGGCTGGCTACGCCCCTTGATAGTATGAGCTACTTAGGTGAATTATGTAATTACTGTCGCCACTCTCTTTATCCTTTGGCCGATTCTTTCGGCTTTCATTTCACTGAGCTCCTTCAGCCGTATCAAAGTTAACGTAATCGGCATCATCATACGCATCCAGGTTGATGTAAATCTGTTAAAATATAAGATAAAGCCTAGTGCGTTATTCAGAAATAGATATATTACTTTTAATGACAAAAAAAGGGGTTTTCCTTTACCAGATCAACTTAAACGTGACACTGACGGTTTGATATTTGATTGGAAAGTGATTCTTGTAGCGCAGTGGGGTAGGGACGGTGAATTTTCCCTATCGTTTTATAAATTGAAGCTAACAAACCAATTATAAAACAGCCCATATAAAATTGTTGGGAAGGAGTTGGGGGACTTAGATTAGTTTAAGGAATACAAGTGCGCAGACTGCGAATAGACTCTCCGGGAAGTAATACAACATCGTATTCAACATCGAAGTTGTTGAAGGTACCATTCAATCGAACTATTGATGTGTTTCCTCACTTTTTAATGGCAAATATTCGTCAGTAACGCATTGAGAACGCTATTTAATTTTCCCAAGAGCCATTATGGCTCTTGATTTTCCTCTTTTTTAGTGATTTTCTTAGTACGAATGCAATTGACCTTGAAAATAGTTTCTTTTTTTTTAATCGAAATGGATTGTTTGAATTGAAATGAAATGTTTTTAATTCGAATATTTTTTTAATGAAATAAATTTTTTCTAATCAAAACTAAGTGTTTGTTTAAACGAAAGAAATTGTAAATGGTGTTTTGGCGGAATAGTTGTTTTTAACTGAATTAATTGTAAATAGGATTGTAATAGATAGAATTGTTATAAAATCGTTATTATTATCATTATTATTATTATTATTATTATTATTATTATTATTATTATTATTAACACATAAATAAGTACTTTACATCATTTTATCCACAAGCTTTATTTTTATTGCTGAAAGAAGTTAAAAAAATATGCGCTTTCACTCAAAAATGGCTTGAACACCTGTATTACTTATGATATCATATCTCGCAACCATAGTAACTGACCATCACTTAACTTATCTCAAAATGCGCGCGAGGGATAGACGAACAGCTACTGAAAACTTCAGGTGCGTCTACGAAGAAAATCAGAAAAACCTCAAAGGGGGAGGGCAACCATCCCCTCCCCCCCTCTTGTACGTCTGAGGGTTAAAACGCAATAATATTATGTTGAAGTTGCTGTAACACATATAAACAGGGTTTGCAATCAAATGTTCCAGGATTTTAGTCGGCAAGGCTCAATCTGCTATTCCCCGCCCCCGGCCACATCTTTTGATTTGGCTCTCTACAACCTGGGTTTCTTGGATGGCTTTGCGTGCGAAAGCATATTCTGAAAGGCTATAGAAGGGAACTAATCACTGTCTCTACCTTAGTATCTTTTATCAGCCTATTAACAGCGGTGCGGATCCACTTGAATTTGGGGCGTTCTTCAGGTTTCTCAGACCAGCATTCAGACATTATAGAAAATCTGGAAAACAGGATAATCAGGATAATTGTCGCTCTCCAAATTACTTTAATATTTTATTATATACTGGGCGATTTACCTTCCCACCTGAAAAAAATGTGAAAAGGTTTATTTCTATCAAGAATACCTCGATTTATACGGATTTTCCAGTAAAATGGAATACATTCAAACAATTCAAAATGGCGGATCCAAGATGGCGGAGTTCCCTTTTTAGTAATTAATGACGTCATGATGACCTCACTGCTATTGGTGAATATTATTTAGGAGTTAACCAACTTACTGATTTTATCAAACACGTTACTATTTCAGTCGTTTACGCTTTAAAGTTTGAAGGAAATTTGGAGTCTGCCAATAAATCCAAAAATATATGACGTCATCATCACGTCAGATTGAGTCATTGGGTCAATAAAGTTATACTCGGAAGCTGGAAATGAAGAGCTCATTATCCTGCGTAATTTTGGTGGCCGTAGCATGAGCTCTTTTGAAGTTATAGACGGGAGGGCTCCGAGCGGAATAGGGTGAACGAAATGTTAAGTCGATGATCGACTAATGTTTTTTAACCCTCTACACTGTTGTCAATCTACCCATCAACTTGTCAATCCACCCTTTTAATAATCAATCGCTTGACGACCGCAATAGCCACTCTCAAAAAGGAATTAAGGGATACCATGTTTTGAGGTTGCTGCTATAATAAATTACTCACAGTTCCTCAGAAATATGGATTGGCCGTTGCATTCGATATCCTCTTTCAAGCAAAGACACCGTCTGCTCGGCGTTCAAACCGGGGTACGGTGAATCACCTGTATAATAGAGTTTAGGAGAGTCCTAGTTTAGTAGGCCATCATAGGATGCTTTCCATTTGTCAGAACTGACCGGCCAGACGGTATTCCCGTCATAATGAGAATTTTACTTGGTATCAACACTATCCAGCCAGATCAGTCAATGATAGTATACGTGAAGGGGATGGTTTTTCAGCAAAAATTCCTTTAAAAAATCTGGATATTATTTGCTAACTGACTGGTCCGGCTGGCCGGTTCTGACAAATGGAGAGCGCCCGCAATGTTTATTCTGTCCGCAAGAAACGGATATTAGTGCAATCGATTCGAAGTTACCTATTGTAAAAACCTCCCAAAGAACAATTCCGTATGACCACCTGAAAAAGAGAAATCAAGCATTTTTGTAAATAGTACATTGGTTATAAAGAATTTATTTAGGAGCCTTTATTGACTGTGTCAAAGTACTCTTTTTCCGAAATATTATTAACTCATGTCCTGAATATGAAATATCAATCTGGCGTTGTTGACTTTATGCTTTGCTATACTTGCCAGTGTCAATGAAACCATTATCACTTCTGTCACTACGGTCCTTTACCTTTTTATCAACAGAGTACAGTGTTTCTCTAATGATTATGGAGAAAAAAACAAATGATTTTGGTGAAGGAAATGGTTTCAGCTCCCACTTGCAAAGGGATTCTCAAGATCTTTCTACATTAACACAACTTACAAGGTTAAACTTTCTAAGTCCTGAGCCTGTTTGGTTTCTTTCCACTATTCTTTACAATAATGCATGGCCCAGCAGTAAAACTGGATAGGTCCTTAAAAACACGCACTTGGCGTATTCCGTAACAATTGACTCCACAGACGATAGAAAACTAACTACTAACACGTCACTCATGGTGCTGGATTCACCGTAAAAGATAGACTCTGGAGGCATCCACTTGACTGGAAGACGAGCCTTTGTAAAGAAAAGAAGAAGCGATAGCAAATGATGAGCAAACGATAAAGAAATAAACTAAGTGTAGCAAATAGCAGTTTTCTTTTAGATTCAGGTCTTAGTGTTTTTGTCTAGTTTAGTGCAGGTTGAGACAACAACTAAAACGTAAAAAAAGACTAAATGCCAGGGGGAGGGTGCTGCGGGCAATTCCAGTGTAATGTGTCCGTATTAGAAAAAAGCTACACGACAAAGCTGTCTCGAATTTGAACGCGTTTCGTAAAAATTAATATTTACTTGAATTTAACATTAACTTGACTGGAAAATCATTAACAGAATCCTACTTGATGCATTTCCATTTCAAAACATAATTTTCTTGTCTAAAAAAACACACAAAATGAACCTTAAATCCCGCGCTGAAATCGTTAAAAACCTTCAAGGGACAGAGCTTTCAGCTACAGATTGTTATCTGTTTATTAGCGTGGTTAGATTTAAACTTTGAATTTAGGGTGTCGAATTGACTATAACAAACGAAGTGAAATGTTATGAAGTGTAAATCTGTTTTATATAAATTTAGGTAATAAGCTCATTTTTTAAGCTCTTGTGGCAGAATAGACGTAGGTCCGATAAATTTGACACTTTCTCCAGTAATTTTTCCTGCGTCATAACTTCTATAATCTTCCGATGAACTCGCTCGGCAAAAAATGTGTAACCTATAAACTCGATCAATAGCTCATCGTGCTTTGTTGTCTGTTAAGAATTTGCACGGTAGTGTCCATCGCTTACGGTTTAGTTTCCCAATTACGTTAGGGCAATTACGATATGCGAGAAAGACAAAGAGGCATGATATTATATTTTTGATTATTGAATTATTTCCTGCGGTTGGCTTCTTGCTTCTCAAATATTTGATTTGGGAAAAGTACTGCAATTATCCGCTTTTCACCACGCACGGTGACCGCTTTACAAATTATGAGAAGATCGTTTCTCGCTCCCAGACCCCGCCTCTTTTCCCCTTCCTCCTGCTAAATACTACCTGTGATGTTCGCACATAAATGTCATCATTTACGTCACGGGCAAGTCCAAAGTCAGAAATTTTACACACTTGGTTTTCGCCGACAAGAATATTGCGAGCAGCCAAATCACGATGAATGACCTAAAAGTTATTCAGAAAACCAAACAAACAAATAAACAAAATAATTAATAAAAATAACAAGGAAAAGGTGTTTAAAACCTGCATGGCAATATGTTTTTTTTAGCTCTCCCGCACCCAAAAGACAAACATCTGACAGTCTGACTCCCCATATTGTCTAAAAATTGAGACAGGCATCCAAGGTAGTTTCATAGTATTTTTGGTTTTGTGAAGGGTTATCTTATAATCAAAACCGATACAACAATGTCAAAACAATCCTTCTTTCGATTTGAATGATCTGTACAGATCTAGATCTAGAAAGGTGACCGGTATTGAATTGCGCCACGTGAAATCGCAAAGAGGGTATACGTTGTGCTTTGCTATTATGAGTTTAAGCAAAAGTACTTTGTAGACTATTATACCAGATTACCTTCATTTTGGCCAAATACTGCATTCCATCAGCTATCATCCATGCGAAGGATAAGAGATCTTTTGCTGTAAGCTTGGATTCGGGTTTCTTCTCTCCTGTGTTGTAGTTGTCAGAATGTCCTCTGCTCTTCCTCAGGTATCCCAGTAGATCACCAAATGGTAAATACTCCAAAACGATTAGAAGGGGGCCTGAAGACGTACATGTATATTATTTTATAATTTGTCAGCAAAATATTTACCTTTATGGAATTTCCCAAAAGACACTCAGCAGATCGAGTATCCCTGCACCTAGCCCGCTAAAACGGGCAGTGTGCACATTTAAGAAGTTAGCTCCAAAAATGTTTTCACGGGCCGATAAACCTAGCCACTTTCTGCGAGTCAACACAGCAGTAAGGATTGTACTGGTTCGCAGTAATTAATTCACTGTGAGCACAAAGGGATTTTAAGAGGGGGTGCCACGGAAATTCTTGTCTTAATTTTAAGCCTCTTAAAATTATGAGCGAGTACTATGTTCTTTTGCACCAACGGCACCTGCAACACTAATAAGAGCACATTTTGAGGAAAATCAATGGAAGTAAGGTAATTTAAAAAAATATATTTTTAACACTTTGTAGCAGACAACAAGTATTAATAAGATTCCTGGTCTTCGTAGCACTTTTGAGCTTTAAAAAGCCAAACGGGTTAATGCGACGGCTATTCTGGTATATTGCAAAAAAATCCACCATATTTAATTATGTTTTCTTTTGTTGAAAATGCATTAATTAGTTTGTTCATAGCTCGTGACAGTGTCCCTGTGAACAGCGTTTTTGAGGTCATACTTGATTTGTAACGCAATGGAATATATCAAAAGGTTTCCGTGTTGCCCTGCACCTTCTCAGTATTATAAACTAGCGAGCGTGCTTGCCATGGGCTATTAAGTCGCTATGGTAAATATCTCTGAGTGTACACGTACAGCTGGCGTATATATGACGACGTGTTATGGATGCAATTTAGAAGCTTGAAGGGTACTGGAGAACCTAGAGTTGCTTCGTTTGTCCCTTGCAAACACTTTCAAGACCGCGTGCCATGCTGAACAAAACAACAACAACAACAAAAACAATCTACCCGTGAAGTTACCTTTGTGTACGTACTCTACTAGATCATGGGCAACAACCAATCATGTGCGCGTAGCACTGGCTACTTAAAACATATATACACCATTGCAGAAAAAAGATATAGAAATAAATAAATAAAAACTATAATTATAATAATAATAGCAATAATAATAATAATAATAATAATAACAACAACAATAATATACAACTATCCCCCAAAAGGGAGGTGAATAGTGATTGATTTATAAAGCGAGATGCGAAGCGTCGAGGTATATATCTAACGCTGTTCACCGACCCTGAGGGGGATAGTTGTCTTTAGTATTTACCAAATCAGTTAGATAAAACTGACTAAAAAGTGACTTTTTGTACATTAAAAACGCCTCTTAGTAGGAACTTTGTTTACAATTTACAAATATTTCGGGGATTTTGTCAAGAGCATTTTACGATTTTGTTGCAAATTCAGCATGAAAATAATTTTCTACCTACCAGTGAACACCGACAAGCTAAAGTTGGTCGCTTTCTTCGTATTTGTTTGTGCGACTGCTTCATTTATCGCACAAATTTCGTCTTCCAAAAATGTCTCGAAATGAGACGCCATTTTGGCTGCGGTCGCAAAACTGTGAGTAGCCAAGGATATTCCGAGTTACAGGAGCCAATAAAAACGCGCGAAAATTGCTTTTCACTGATTTGGTAAATACTAATACTACTACTAATAATAATGCTCCTTTTGATATCAGAAACGGAAAATTTTCTTTTTTCCTGACTTAATTTAACACACTGGGCTGTGTGCAAGGGATACTGATCGCACATGAGCCGCAAATAATGTATTTGGGAAATCGTTATTGACACAGTGATTGTATTTTTATGATTTATACAATTCTTAATGTCATAAATGACATGAACAATTGTATAAATCATAAAAAGTATATTTTTGTAAATTATGTACATATTTTCAAAGTTGAATGATAATAATAATAATAATAATAATAATAATTGTTATTATTATTATCATATGGGACCTGACATACCACTACTACTACAGCAGCCAATCAGCTTCAAGACATGAGGGTGAGGCTTCAGACTCATCATAACATTCAATTCTGTAATCATATCCTGTTTATCTTTACCTGTGGCGTTTGCTTGATATGAAAAAAAAAATAATAAAAATAAATTAAGTAAAGGACCCTGAGTGAATATAAGCTTCGCACCTTTATCCTTTTACTCGAAATACTGCAATAAACTTAAAAACACTGCAAAGACAAATAACTGAGACACACAAACAACTTGAAACAAAACTTTTAACTTAACTTTGTAGTCAGTTGAAAACCTACTTAAGATACGTAACTTCGTTAACTAATAGACCTCAGCCCGCCACACAGTTAACAACTCAGCGGGTATTCAATTTTGGCAGCTGTGAATAGAAAATGGTATGGGCTTTCATTAAATTGTTTCTTCCCACCCGACGGACTATTCCTGAGTTTCCGAGGATGCACGATCGCACGACACGTCAATTGGTAACGTTTACATTCTACAGTAAACAGTAGCGATTCGCGTTGTGAATTTAACGGAAATCAAGGTTAAACAAAACTCCTCTTTGTCCTGCGAAACTGGTGAAGCGCCCTTCTGGAGCATAAACTTCATTATCATAATCACTATCACCATCACCATTACCATCGTCAACACCAACACCATCACCATCACTGTCATTATCATTATCATTAATGTTATTGTTGTCTTGTAACTATTATTACTTTGATGCCTACGAAAGGTTTAGTTTTATACTTTTGCATAAAAGGTAAAACGTAACTAAAGCTGCGTTTTATTCACTCATCAAACATACTAAAACCGTCTGTACTTTCTGCCCTTTCCGCTGTCATCGCCAGCGCGGATGCCGCTCCCAAAACGACAAGGTAATGTGAAATATCTACCTTTGAGGGATTTGACTGCCACAGTATCTTTGCCTAAAGTGGCTTTATAAACTTCGCCGAAGTTACCGCTTCCTAGTAGCCTTTTTATTGCTATTTTTTCCCGCTGCAGCTCGTAACAGGGACTGTTAATTATTTCCAAGTATTGGGGGGCATTTATGTCATCGTCTTCGTTTCGTTCTTCTTCAACTTTAAGTAGGTTAAGGTTCTCTATAGAATGTGTGTTAGTAATCTCTTCAGGAGCATTTATGACGTCATCCTCGTTTCTTTCTTCCACAGCTTCAAGAAGGATAAACTCTTCCACCGAATGTGCGTTAGTACTCCCTTCAAAACAAATGGATGATTCAATTAGTTTTCTTTAATTGTCATGCTTTATAGCTATTTTTAAGGGAAAGAATGGTGAAATATGGGTTCAGCCTGTTACCTCGACAATACAACGTCAGAATGACGTCATATTACGTCATTGTTTCGATCATGAATTCCACTTATGATAAGTGTCGATTCAGTATTCTGTGTATTTGATCGATTACTCTGTATCTGGTGGCGCAGGAAACTTAAAAGCCAGGTCTAAATAGGATTTAGGATAAGTTCCCCTCAAAACTGGGACTCGCGTACAAAAATCAACAGAACAAATCACGCGCGAAACAGTAACTGAAAGACGACTTCAAATAAACAGCTTCTCAGAATGATACAGTCAAAGCTCTCGTAAGCGACCAGCTCGGAAATTCGAAAAAGTGGTCGTAACTAGAGCGGGTCGCTTACGAGAAGGAGCTCTAGTAAGTGACCAGATGATATAACAGTAGAGGGTGGTCGCTTACGGGAGCTTCATTGATAACTCATTAATAATTCAGAAAGAAAAAGCAAAGGAAAATTAATGTTATTATTATGGAGTGCATGTCTTTATAGCTGGTATAGACACGGCTAAAATTTACGTTCAAATTTTTAGACCAAAATAACCCCAAACCTAAAAATTAGAACCATAAGTGCTGTGGGCAGTTTCACTGAAGTGTTGATTTATATGAATAAGACTCTGGGTTGTCGCTTACGAGAGCTTAAAAACAAAGGAAAAGTTCATTTGGGTAGTTCCTAAAGTGGTCGTGCTCTCTTACGGGAGCGGTCGCTTACTGACAGTTTTCCATTACAAAGTTTAAGACGCAGTTATTGGAAAGGTGGCCATAATTAATTAGAGCTCGTTGCTTACGAGAGTGGTCGCAAGGAGAGCTTCGACTGTAGTTACATAATCTAGTCGAGAGTCCAGGAAACGTGACATTATGATAATTGTGGGTTTTATTGTGTGATTTGGAACAGTGATTTGGAATCAAGCTATTTTTGTCTCGAAATGCCGATAGCAACTAGAAGTGCTTCACGGAAAGAAAGTACAGCTAATGCTTGTTTGGATGCGAGTGCAAAGTCGTTTGACGTTTGTTATTCTGGCGATTCTTGACAAACAATGATCTAATCGAAGAAATGGCTGAACGGGAAACTGAAACGCTACCCTCAGTACGTTCTCGCCCGGGATCTCGGATTAGTTGCTAGCAAATATTCTGCTGTGGCTGCTGTGAGCGTATGGAGTATGAATCGGTGTTTGTCGGGGTCGATGGGCACGCCCCCTTACGCACAAGCGGCGAGGCATGTCCCTAAAATCACCCTGGATTACGCTTGTCTTAAAACAGCACATGCGCGAAAGGGACATCGTTAAAACCAAAGCCATTTAATCCAAAGACCCTAAGGACTGCTATGTTTTCAAAAAGGCTCGCAATTCTATGAACTATGAGATATACTAGCCAACATGGCCAAAGAGAACCAATACAAGTCCGCATCCAAAAAGAATGAGGGGAATATAGCTGACCTCAAGAAAACAAACAAACAAAAAAAAAACCCTGGCATCGTATGAAGGAAATCGAGGTAAATGGTACCCCAATAACTGAGCCTGAAATAATATGCGAATCGTCTAATTAGCATTTCGCCATTATAGGGCTTGTGTTAGCTGAGCAAATTCTAAGCTCTATTGGCCCGCATTTGTATTATCTCACGCCTTTATTAGGTGACTATAGACTTTTTTTTCGAAATTACAAGGGCTTTAGTATTATTTTCCCGAAAATGTTAGGTACAATTTAACTCTTTACAAAAGTGGGAATTTTTCTGATTCCTCTCTCCACCACATTTTAGAATTCGAAAATTTTAGGTTTCCTTTTTCTGAGAAAAATAGTGTATCCTGGGTAGTAAAATATGAAAATTGAACTTCAGAAAATCGTAGGAAATTTATATAGATAAGCTTCAAAAATTGAACATGAATGGAACGTTCATTTAGAAATTTTTAGCTGTCCTCAAGCAAAAGAAAATTCTAGGCAATACTTGCTTCTCCGAACAGATATTTTACAGAAAACAGTCGTTGGTTGCCTCTGTTATCACCCCGTTTCAATTATCTCAGTGATAGCTAAAGTTTTCGAAAGAATAGTGGATAATCAAGTCTACAATAATCTCTGATGGAGAACAATTTTGATATCTTGGAGTCAACCTGGGTTTCGAAGTCTTCACTCTACTGTGACTTCTCCTTGAGGCCACCAATAACTGGTCATATAATATTGACCGCGGCAAGGTTAATGCAGTAGTTTTTTCTAGATTCAAAGAAAGCTTTGATATTGTTGATCACGAGATCCTGCTGTCAAAACTCAATGCATATACGGTTTCGGGGTTTGGGGTGTGCGAGCAACTAGGCTAGGTCATTCTTAAATGGACGCAATCAAAAATGCTTTGCCAACACTCCTTTAAAACAGGTTACTCACGACAGACGAAATCCTTTGGTGTGTACATTGATAGTACAACGTATCTTGGAATGCACAGATCAAGTAGTTAGCCTAAAAGATTGCGTCTGGTTTTGGATCTTTGAAACGTGTTCGAGATTATTTTCCAACCACGGTGTGGCAGTCTATTTTTAAATCTCTTGTTCGAGACCCCATTTTTGATTATTGTAGCGACCAGTAGTGTATTTTAAAACTGACTCTTGTTTAAAAAGAGATCGATCTTTCACTGTGTTAACGTTTGGATGAATATATTTTTGTCCAGTACCTTCTTCTTGCATGCGGTCTTCCTTTTTGTGTCTTTTACTCCTCCTCCTCCTCCTCAAAAAAAAAAAAGAATTAAATCAATAAAACAAGCAAACAATCCGGAAAAAAAAAAGACAAAAACAAAAACAATAACAACAACAACAAAAAACAACAGCAACAACAACAACCACAACCGCAACAACAAGAGAAGATTCGATGTTGACACAGGTAGGAAATAAAGGACTCCGAGCTTTTCAAATTTATATCGCTAGTTTCACTCTTACGCTATCGGGCAAGTGTTCGCTCTCTTTCTTACCGTAAGTAAGAATAAATTAAAAGAAACGGAACCACTTTTCACTATTAGTGGAAAACTTGAACAGTGACCTCGTTGTATAAATATGCCGGCGCACAGAAGGAGGATGTAAAAGTAAACTCTTTTTAACTAAATTATTTGAAGGTTTAAAAGTAAAGCCTCATACATATATATAGTGTACAATAATTTTAATTGACTTTTCAGTGGTAAGTGTATAATAATGACAGCTATAAAAGTAAATTATAATTATCGTAAAAATTATTCCAAATCCTCTGAGGCAATTTCCTTGAAAGCTTTATAACTTTATAACCATTGCTGAATTAGGGTTTTTGTTGATGTGACAAGATTTCGTCATTGCGTTAAAATAAAATAGCATATTTGAGGTTTTGGTTGTGTGGAGCATTTAAAAATAACCAGTTTACATCCGGAATTTAGAATTTACATGAGCGAAAAAGTCGGGAAACTACTGTAGGCAGAGGGCTGTAGAGAGTTGACGTTTCACCGCTAGGCAGAGAAAATTTGCAGGAAAGTAATGTTCTACCTTTCAACTTTCTTTCATTACCGAAAGAGGGACATGACGTCATCAGTCACGTGATCAGAGTGTTTTGAATATTTTAGTTCGTTTTTAAAGTACATTTTCCGCCATAAATCTGCAAGTTTTTGTTGTTTTTCTCTACAAATCTTTACACTGTATTACCCCTAAGTATTTATTATTCCATTTTCAAAACAGAAGCAAACAAAAACTGAGCCAGAAGTTTAAAAAATTGTGTAAATCGACCAACATTGAAAATTAAAATCGAAAAGGAGTCCTTCTTTTGAAACTTTTGTAAAATCCTTTTTCAACTTAACTGTTTGTTTGCCGAAATAAATGTTCAACGTTTGTTAATAAAGGAGAACGTTCAAAGCTAAAAGGATCTATATTGTTTTTCTTCATTCTGGTGTGAGAGATCATGTGGTAGTTCTTTTAACGCTAAAAGTCAAATGGTTTGCTACCCTAACCTAAAACAATGAAAATAATGATAAATGTTTTGCGCGACCGATGAAAAGACACCTTACAAGTAAGGAGAGAATCGTATGGTCATACTGTTGAGTCGGTAGCCGCGAGATCGATAGCTCATAAATTTCTTCAACGTTCCCCGGCATGCACCAAGCCTGAAAGAGTATTAATGGGTTTATTGTGGGATTTACGTCTGGCTTAGATCAATTAAAGTTTTAATTCTACACGGAAACCGAAAACGTCATCCTTGAAAACTGTCAATCACCCTAGAGAAGGAATATATACCTCTTACTGAGGTGGTCCAGTGGATAGAGGCGTTCAGTTTTAGTCCTAACGTATTCGGGGGGTCCGGGTTCGAATACATTTGAAGCAAATTTTTGGGGACATTATTATTTTTTTTCTTTTTCTTTTTTATTCTCTTTTTTACCTGTGTGGTGCATATAGCTACTAACATAATGTGGTAAATTGAAAGCAAACTTGAGAGGAATATAAAAAAATACCATATGTATCATGGTGTATCTACCGGTATTTATAACAATACTGGACTCTGTTACCATTACCCAGTTCAAACGTCGAATTTCAAATGTGCCTAATTTAATTCGAGAGGCAACTGCTTTGATATGCGACGTCTGAATCCACAGTTTTAAATTAAATACGTCTTTGCCGAATTTGCGACTGAATTACAGGCGAAAATTCGACTTAGTTTCAACATTTGATTTAGAAGTCGCATTTCACATGCGCCGAATATAATGCATTAATTATAGGACCCTTATCCATATTGGGTAACATCTTTTTCTGGAGACTGGGAATATTTACAACAAACGGATTAAATTCGGCACCAATATATCCGACGTCTGAATCACCTGCCCCATTTAATTATTTTTTCGACTAAAATAGGTGTTCAACACTCATAAGAAATTCCACGTTTGAAAGGGGCCTAACATGACATAAGTTTCAGCTTAGTGGTTTGCAGGCTGTTCGCTATTAAGCTAGTTTTTTTTTTCCTTCTCAGTAAATCCATTTTATTAATCGGCTTGTGCCACGACTTAAGAATCAGCTGTAATAGCGGGCAACCGCTACTCGAATTCGACGAAATGTTTCAGATTGGGAGATCTCGTAACTTTCCAAGTTAACTTGAATAAGGCATTAACCTACCTTTTGAAGCGAAAGACGACAATAATGATCGTCATGGCAAGGACAAGTAACAGCAAACCGCCACCACCAGCACCGCCGGCAATCACCATCGTTTCCTTAGATGACGGACTTCCTTCGCCATGCGGACCAGCTTAACAGTTTGATGGAATAAACAGACCGAGACACATATGTAAGAATTACTTTTTTCTATTACAGTCTTGCCCACAAACAGGACAGTTTCCCACAAAACGTTCATTCTCAAGCAACAATGGAAATGCCGGAAATTGTTTTAAGGTAAACAACGAACGGCAAATGACAATTTGTGCCATGTGGCTAAGTTTCCCCCTTAATTACTTGTCGTTAAATGTTCATCAGGAAACTACACCGAAAACACGAACATCATTCGACTGTCATCAAACTGGAAAATACTTGTGTTATAATTAAATTAACGCGTACTAACGACAAGAGGTTCAAGCTGCTGAAATATATAAAATACATAAATAAATTGTTTAAAAAAAGGGACAAAAAAATTGGGTGAGAATCAACCTCTTTTTGTTATCCCCATCACGTTCTATCCTTAAATCATCAGTTTCCGTCCAGATATTTAGCAATTATTGGGTCAGGCTGCGTATGATCTGAAGAATTATACAGATCAAAGAGGGGCGGCTGCGGCGGATAATACTCTCCGAGATCTGCATAATACATTCTTCACATGGCAAAGCCTTCTAAATCCAATAAATGCATTTTTTATTGTTCATCCAAATTAAGACGTTGATCGGTGTGAAGTTCATTTGCCTGTTTCTAAGCAAATGTAGGATATAACGGGATGTTCTTCTAAAGATAACACTGTTCTATCTAAGATATTTTCGGGTATCGCAAACGTCTTCCATAAGCCGTCCCTTAAAGCAGCTTTAATTTGCAAAATTGACCACGGTGAATCGTAAGTTGATTTGTCTATATGCAGGTAGACAACTCGAGAGCCGCAATCCTGGCTTCAGCCAATTATATATTACTTACCTTTGGTTTCTACGAATACCGTAAAATAGTTCCATTTGTCTCTATCTTTGAAGTGTTCATTTAAGTCACTGACAGAGTAAACTCGAAATATCAGGAAACTACCAGAAGGCAAGCCACTTATTTTCACAGTACCATTTGTGATGTTGTCCTTATTTGGTATGTACTGTACACTTGAACCACAAAAATCCTTACAGTCCTTGTAACTCCTGAGCTTGCATCTGAAGCAGTCCACAGAATATCTTAACTTTCCATCAATGTCATCGGGTGAACGTTCCCACTTTATCTCTACATAAGTTTCCTTCAGAACACTGACATAAGCATTTCTTGGTGCCTTTGGTAAAACGGCTGAGGGAGGAGAGACTTACATAAGTCAGCATAATCTGAGAGATTCCTATTAAGTGGCTACGTCAGGCTATTTGCTATTTTTCTAAAACGCCAAATCGTGTCTTTGCATTAGTCGGATTCTCAAAAACAATAGTGGCGCGGTTTTGTAAAATATATAATTATACTTAAGCATTGGAACTGTTTCTTGTCGTCTAGATCTGTTGCTGGGATGAAACTTGAAAAAATTGATCCAATTCTTAGTTTAAAAAGAAGCTAAGACATGGATACCTTGATCAGCGTTAAGTTCACTTGCCTGTTCCTAAGCAAATTCAGGATATAACGGGATGTTTTTCTAAAAATAACACTTTTCTATCGAAGACATTTTCGGGTATCGCAAACGTCTTCCATAAGCCGTCCCTTAAAGTGGCTTTTATTTGTAACATTGACCACGGTGAATGGTACGTTGATTTGTCTATGCAGGTAGACAACTCGAGAGCCGCAATACTGGCTTCAGCCAATTATATATTACTTACCTTTGGTTTCTACCAATATCGTGTCATAGTCCCATTCGTCTCTATCTTTGGAGTGTTTACTGACAGAGTAAACTCGAAATACCAGGAAACTACCAGAAGGCAAGCCATGTATTGTCACACTAGTAGTACCAGCTGAGATGATGTCCTTGCTTGGTGCGTACCGTACACGTAAACCACAAGAATCGTTGCAGCCCTTGTATTTCCTGTTGCATCTGAAGCAGTCCACAGAATATGTAAATTTTTCATTGAAATTTTCATAAACGTCATCAGGTGAAGGTTCCCACTTTATCTCTACATAAGTTTCCTGCAGAACACTGACGTGAGTATTTCTTGGTGCCAATGGTACAGCTGAGGGAGGAGAGATTTACATAAGTCAGCATAATCTGAGAGATTCGTATTAAGTGGCTACGCTAAATCGTGTCTTTGCATCAGTCGGATTCCCAAAAACAATAGTGGCGCGTTTTTTTTAAAATTTATAATAGCAGGGATGAAACTTGAGAAAATTGATCCAATACTTGTTTAAAAAGAAGCTAAACCATGGATACCTTGATCAGTGTTAAGTTCACTTGCCTGTTCCGAAGCAAATTCAAGATATAACGGGATGTTGTTCTAAAGATAATCCTGTTCTATTAAAGACATTTTTGGAAATCACAAACGTCTTCCATAAGCCGTGATCCTGAAAGCGGCTTTAAATTTGTATCACTGACCACGGTGTATGGTAAGTTGATTTGTGTAAGCAGGTAAACGACTGGAAAGCCGCAGTCTTGGCTTCAGCCACTGGTTATATATTACTTACCTTTGGTCCTTGCTAATATCATATCATAATAACTTGCTAACAAAACGAAAAATACCTGCACTAGCTATAGCCAAATGTTCAATAAATGACTTCGATGAACAATTCATACAGTATACAGCGCGAAGAAAAGAAATGAACTAAGCCGCAAAAAAGTATCATTATAAAAATTTCTTTCTTTTTGAAGAAAAATGCAATATAATTTTCAGCCTAAAATCGGCAGAAAAATTAGAATATTCCGCCTGGGAAGGAAAAACATTAGAACAGGTGATAACGAGTTAAATCTACACTGGTGCAATAAAAAAGAAATCCTAAGGAATCTTAAAACTAATGCAAACCCAAGGTTTACGAAATATAACATAATAATCAATTACATAATATTAAAAAAATTAAAACTAATGGAAGCCTCATATTTCTGTGACAAAAAAGAAATACTAAAGCTTATCCGGTCCCCTATTTATGTTACAACACTGTGAAATGCGGGTCTATGGCCTCACTTAGTAATAACTTTGAATGTCCGCCCAATGTTGAGAGAGCTGGACAGTACAGCCTTCTACATCCTCCTCAGAATATCACTCGATAGCGCTCCGTGATCTTACTCATCTCTACATCTAGCTCCATTTGTTCATTCCCGATTTTCTAAAACAAATTAATTCAGGAAATGAATCGATCTTCTTTTTTCTTTCTCTCTCACTCTTCCTCCCTTTAGTTTTTTGATGTTTACCAATTTTTTGAAATACGATGAACTGACTGACGAATGAAATAATAAGAATAATAAATTACCATACGTAGGGTAAAAGAGACGGCCCGAACGCTTTGTGTCTAGGAAAGAAAGCAAAACACATACATGTATGTCATTAATATTAACTGCACACAGCAGTAAAATTTAGAATCATGTTTACGGCAAACAGCGAACGGCAAATGACAATTTGTAACATGTGGCTAAGTTTCCCCCTTAATTACTTGTCGTTAAATGTTCATCTGAAAACTACACCGAAAACACGAACACCTTTCGACTGTCATCAAAGTGGAAAATACATGTGTTATAATTAAATTAACGCCTACTAAGGACAAGAGGTTCAAGCTGAAATACATAAAATAAATAAATAAATAATTAATTAAAAAGGGGAGAAAAAAATGGGGTGGGAATCAGCCTCTTTTTGTTACCCTTGTTATCTCGACATCTAGCTTCCCTCCACCCCCCCTCCCAAAACAAACAAACAAACAAACAAACAAACAAAAAACAAAAAAGAAAAAAAACGTCCATGATGACGTTCAGCTATGCGATCTTGTAACTTGCATGGGTACTGTTTGGTAAGCTCATCCAGGGTGTAAGAAGCTAGGGCGTTGGAACGCTCATACGCGCTCTCTGGTTCAGCTGTGATGTGGAGTAGGACTTGAATTAGTTGGCCTTTCCGCTCTCGATCCGCTGTCAGGGTAAGAAAAATGGCGCTGTCTAGCTGGAGGTAGGTTCGAATTTATTGCTTTATATCTTTAGATCGCTGCAATCTATAATTAGATTTAATATTTGGCGTATTTCTATGCGATATATAGAAAATATTTAAAAGATAGTTCGTCTTATAAATTAAGGTGTTTTTTTCGCCTTTTATGTTTATGTAGTGTAAAAATGGCCGATCGAATATTACAGGTTGAAGGTCGTGTTTTATCTTGCCAGTCAAAACCAAAATGATAATAAACGGCTGCAAAAAAAAGTTGTAATGGTTTTATAAATTTTGTTTGTGCATGCAAATTTTTAGAGTGAACTTTTATGAACCTTTAAGGCTTTTTTGCTTCTGAAGTGACGACTTCACAATGACGATAGCAAGGTTTTTGTTTTGTACGTTGGCATTTAGCTTGTTAGTAAAATAAAAGATTTCAGTTGCCCAATTCAGCGAGTTTTATTTTTTTAAATATACACTAAGATGGTAAATATAATTTTTTTTTTTAGTTACAGAACCGCGATCCAAGAAGGTTCTGACTATTTTTAAAGTTCTACTAGAAAATTGCATTCGAATGATCTCGTCACAAGTGACAGTCTTTACATAAACAACAACAAGTTCTGCTTCACGGCGGGATAAATCTAAAGGTTGTACTGCACAGAAACAGAATGAAGCCTATGGAGAAATTTGCTTTTAAATCCCCACAAAGATTCCTGCACTGTAGAATTAAATCATAGAATGTGTTTGTTATTGTGATTTTTTGCAGGACAACAGTAAGTGCCCGGCCTGAAAAGACTACTATCATGAGAACACACACTGAAAGATAAACGAGTTCATAATACCGTGAATATGAAGAAGAACATGAAGAGGTCTTAATTTGATTGCAAGTAGAATAAATTAAAACTGAGCAGCATTGTATTTTTGTCATCAGAGGATTAAGTGTGGTGTTGCAAAAACCACAGTCAGCTCTCAGATGGAAACTATTGGGACTGGCAGAAAATGTCTGTATTAATGGACAGGTGTAACTGTTATAAAGAGTAAAAGAAAATGACTGAAGAATAGTAGGGATCAACTCGATTTCCTGGAGGTGCTTTATCTTTTGATTGTACTACCAACAATATTTCTAGCATTATATCCTCTCTCTTAATATTATATATTTTAGACAAGGAAACAGGAAAGTGTTTGATTAAGCCTGGCTGCAGTTAACCAAGAACGAAATTGAATCATACTGGACATGAAGTATACAAGTGTGCTAGGGTTGCTGGTCACACTAAAAAGTTTGTTTTTCAACGGTTTAATGGGTGTTACTGGCCATTTGTATTTCATTTGTGCATAATTCTGTATAATTTTCTTGTTTGCAATTTACTTTTGAATTTGTATGTTATGTAAATGTTTTATGTTGTATCTGTAAGGTATATATAGATAGCAATGTCTGGTTTCAATGTAAGACTAGTGAATGTTAAGTTTCTTTTAAGTTCCTTAGTATGTCTTGCATAGGTAGTTTTCGGTGACCATTTCATTACAAAAAGCGGTTATTATCAAACAGAAATATTTGCTGGGCTACTTATTTGTGTTCTTGCGACCTCTTTGTTAGTTTTTCAAGGGCATTGAATTATATTTTTTTTCACATACTTATTCTTCATTGCACAGTAGTATTAATGTACAAGATAAAAAATAATGATGATTTTATATATTGTAAATTTACCCGCACTTTAGTTTTCACAATCTGTCCAACTGTAATGCTCAATAAAGTGTTTAGAGAAGAATACTGATGCACACCAACAAATCCAAACTTTAATAGTGAAAACAGATCATCTGGCCTTGAAAAGGGGTAGCAAAAAATAAATGTCATAGCAGATGATGAATTACAAAACTTGACATTAAACTGAAGTAGGGAACCGATAATATTAGTCTAAAAATGATGTGAGTGCTATCATCTGAGTCGTGAGGCCATTTTCTTACCAAGTCACGAAATTTTAAGACGGGTCACGGAGGTAGAACTATATTCAATACACATATTTGTCTTCGCGGCGGAAAATTGAACAAAACAGAACGAACGTGAGAAAAAATAATTCGTTCCTTCGCTATTGCTTGCAGCAAATGAATGCCACGGGATAATGGCTAACTTTCGCTGGATAATCTCTCTGACGGTCCAGTATAATGTCCGCCATCTTGTTTTGTCTCTTTGGTAGTACCCAGACCCTTGCATCACAGCTAGATCGCTCAACCCAGAAGCTTCTTGCGCCCTGGCTCACCCAGGCGGACAAAGTACGTCGTCATGGGGCAGACTCCTTTTTGAATCTGATGGTCGAGGAAGTCTCATTTCACTGCTTTGTAGAAACTGCATTCTGGTATTCCAGCTTGCACAGAGGTTCCGGATCACGTTACAGAGCCAGATGGGGACCAGTGTACTTCCATAATCTTGTTTAGCCACTTTTGATCAACGGATAGTCATAGGCCTTCTTAACATCCACTCAAGCCATGCTTAAGTTCCGTTTTCCTCGATGGCAATCCTGTATGACCATTTTATCAATCATTATTGTTACTCTTACTACCCCTTTTCAAGTACTATTACTCTTCAACTGTTCTAGACGAAACAGAAGAGGTTGGTGCCTCTATGTTGTCACAAACCGAGGGTCTCGAACCCGCCCAATGCGAAGGAGAAAATTTATCAAACGTGAATGTGGTCGAAGGTTCGAATTTGCATATTTCTTCCGACATTGCTGATCAAAGAGCTCCCCAGGGACGGACCGCTATTTGAAAGGATCAAAACACCAAATCAAGCCAAATCTGCCTGATTATGATGTGTTTCCCCCCGAAACAAAGAACAAAACTTGGGGCAGTATTAGTTACGCATATTTCTGTAATACTGTCAACGATGTTTACGATGAAATCGTCCACTACAGGAGGAATATATTCAATGTTCCATCGGGTCGCGCAGGGAAGAGTTTCATTGAAGAATTAACCTTCTGGATTAAGCAATTTAATTCAGACTCTGACCTGAACTCGGTCGCTCTTAAAGCATTCATGGTGCTCCCAACTTTGATTTTGCAAAAACCATCCGCTACTTCCAAAAGCAAGGAGCATAGTGAAGCAATAGAGCGTCGATTAGCACTCTGGAAACAAGGGGACATTGATTTGCTGCTTAAAGAAGTGAGGTTCTTTCAAGGGAAATTTGTGAATTCCAAGAAACCTAGAAAGGTTGAAGACATATCCAAAGCCTTCTCAAAGCTGGTTCTGCAAGGAAAATTGACAGCTGCAATGAAACTCCTAGATAACGAGAGCTCGTCCGGTCTGCTCGACCTATCGCCAGATGTCCTGCAAGGGCTACAGGACAAGCACCCACAGGCAGCTGATATCGCAGAGGAGAGTTTGTTACATGGCCCAATTGATTATATTCCGCCAAATGTTTATGACCTCATACACGAAGAATCGATCTACAACTCGGCAAGTAAAACCAAGGGCTCAGCCGGACCATCTGGAATGGACGCAGAGCTGTATAAGAGAATCCTGTGCTCTAAGAATTTCAAGACCGAGGACAAAATATTGAGAGAAGAGCTAGCCGTGTTCACAAGAAATCTGCTAAGGAAATCGTATCACCCATCCTTACTTGAAGCATTTACGTCCTGCAGGCTTATCCCTCTTGATAAGAACCCGGGAATCAGACCAATTTGTGTTGGAGAGGTACTAAGGAGAATAGTGGGGAAAACGGTCAGCGGTTTCTTAAAGGAGGAAATAAAAGAAGCGGCGGGTCCCCTACAAGTTTGCGCTGGTCATTATGCAGGAGCGGAGGCTGCGATCCATGCAATGAGTCAAGTGGTTTTGAAGAAGGAACAGATGGAATATTGCTAATTGATGCTAGTAACGCTTTTAACCAAATGAATAGGTCAGCGGCCTTACACAATATCCAGATCATGTGCAAAGAAATGGCGCTCTATGTTATTAACACATATAGAAGCCCATCTAGACTGTTTATTTGTGGGGGAGGTGAAATACTTTCTGGAGAAGGCACCACACAAGGAGATCCGCTAGCGATGCCATGGTACGCACTTAATACATGCATAGTGATACAGAATTTGAGGGATCATTGCCCATTGGTTAAACAGGTGTGGCTTGCAGACGACTCAGCTGGAGGAGGGAGTATAGTGCAGTTATACAACTGGTACAGGCAATTGAGTAAGGAAGGTCAAAAGTTTGGTTACCTTGTGAGTGGGACAAAGAGCTGGCTTATTGTGAAGTCTAGGGAACTCGCGGAGGAAGCAAAGAGGGTGTTTGGAGAGGAAGTCAACATAACGACTGAAGGTCAGCGCCATCTGGGAGCAGTTATTGCGTCGTAAGAATACAAAGATCAGTATTGTGAGGAGAAGGTTCGTGCATGGAAAGAGGAAATCGAACGTCTCTCTGAAATAGCGAAGAGCCAGCCCCATGGGGCGTATATTGCTTTCACAAAAGGCTACAAGTCGAAGTTCACCTACTTCATGCGCACGATTGAATCGTTTGAAGTTTATGTCGATCCAATCCAGGAAGTGATTGAAGATTTACTACTCCCAACTTTGTTCGGTCGATCAGAGCCTCTCCCTAACGAGGTGCGCAGACTTGCTAGCTTAGCAACGGGTCAAGGGGGTCTAGGCATTCCTGATCTGAAATCCAAGGCACCGCAGCAGTTTGCTGCCTCGAGACTAATAACCACCGCGCACGTAGATTCTATTACTTCACTGAGTTCCATCATGGTGCCAGGAGAAAGATCTACCAAGGAGCTAAAGAGGCATCAACAATCACTTGATAGAGCAAATGCCAAAGAGAAAATGGATGGCATTGATTCAAGCCTCTCCCCAGGCCTGCTGCGTCTGGTTAATCAATCGAGGGACAAGGGCGCAAGTTCTTGGCTGAATGCGATGCCTAAGATCTGCAATAATGTCGAAATCGAACCACGCCTTCAACCCCTGGACAACGAGCAATTTCATTTGAGGAGCGCTGTTACAAGTTCTGAGGCAAGGTTGGACATCAAAGCGGGAGGCTTCTGGGCAAGAGGAGTTACGGCATTTTTTGATGTTAGAGTTACGCACGTCAACTCCAAGTGTTACCAGAGCAAGCCAACATCGGAAGTGTTCAAAGAGCAAGAAGAAGAGAAGAAGCGCAAGTACCAGCAGCGGGTGTTAGATGTAGAAATGGGTTCGTTTACGCCTTTAGTGTTTGGAACCAATGGCGGAATGGGAAACGAGTGTCAGCGGTTCTTAAAGCATCTCGTAGACAAGATAGCTCAGAAAGACACCGAGCCTTACCATGTTGTAATCACTTGGCTCAGGACACAGATCTCGTTTGAACTCTTAAGATCGGTACATGCATGCGTCAGAGGTTCGCGAACGCCGTTTCGTAGCAAGATAGAGCAATCATTAGACTGTAAAATAAATGTCGCTAGTGCGGATATCTGAAATACGTGTCTATATGCTTTTATACTTAGGGCTTTTTATGGACACTGGTTTAGCCGTCATTAGTATAATTCGATTGTATGATCTTAATATCTCTGCATAATGGAATTCTTTATTTTTTAGAATTTAGAATTTTTATTATTAATTATATCTATTTCCTCTTCTTTTATGTAAGGTTAAGTTACTTCTATTTTTTAGAATTTGTAAATGAATAGTTTCTTTCTTCACTCACGGATGGAATTGTAGATAGTGTTTTGATGAATTAATTAGATTTTTTGTAACAGCAGGTTGATTGTAAATAGGATTTTAATTGAGGTTTTGTAATAAAGATTTAGTTCTTATCATTATTGTTGTTATTATTATTATTATTATTATTATTATTATTATTATTATTCTAATTATGCAGTAGCATCATCATTTTTAGTATTGTCATTTTCAGTATCACTATAATCATTACTATCATTAAAAATTCTCTGTTTAGTCTTACTTACACTTAAAAGAATAAACGCTCGTGGCGTCAGATATATCTTTTTTGTTGTCACTGTTGTGCACGTCACAGGTAAAGGTCACAGCGATACGCGTTTCTTTGGATTCCTCTAGAAAGGTTTGTTTTATACTCAAGGTGCCACTGGAAATGCTTACAACCTGAATCCGTTCGTCTTTCAGTAACTGACTTCTCATTCTCCAACATTGCCTTGCAGAGTTACAGTAACCGATTTCATCGCCTCCTTTCACTTTCCAATACATCTCAAAGTAATTGCTTGGGTAGGTTTTGATTGCATCACAATGCAGTATCTCACTAATAACTGTCTTGAAACGCGGTCCCCATTCTTTCATGACGTAACCTAAATGAAAATGATGTGATACTAACTTTAAAGGGTCTTAGGGGAGTTCACTATAGAATTTTATCATTAAAATTGAACATTCTTTACTGATAAGATATGAAATAGTCGAATCCGACCCTGAGATGAAAAGAAAAAGAAAATAATTAAAAATAATAAAATAAAAATGCGGACATGGCAAAATGTAAAAAAAAAAACTTTTTGAAAAGAGTGCGTAAGGTATTTAGGCAACGCCATTAAATGACTTATTTGATTTGCGTATAAACTTTTACGAGAGCTTTTCAGTAAGTATGTCTCAGTATGTTTATAATAAATAAAGTTGTTTGTGAATCATTCTGCATTGAGTAGTCAATTTTTTTTTACTGTTGTAGAAGCCTCAAACTTCTTTTCTTATTTATTGTTTAGTGTTAGTTTTACGAGGATGCCTTCCTTGTGGTATCAAGCGTCAAAACTTGTTTTACTCGATCATAGTGAGTAAATTGTTGCTTTTGCTTTGTATCCTGTATTGTAAAACTAAAGGCATCGATAGCGAAATTGTCTAGCTTTCTTGGAGGTCGCTGTTACCTACACTGTTCACAGTCCCCTTTTCGTAAGATCGTCAGGATCGAGCTCTTACCGGTAAGTGTGGCCATCTTGGTTTAATGTCTGTACTGAGGGGACGGGCGTCGAAGTTTAAAGCGGGTCGGGGAAGGAAGGCGAGAAAAATTTATTTTCAGCTATTTTTTCCGCTTCCTCCCAAACCGTCCCCCGTCTCCTAAGTAGATTTGAAACTCATCCAAGATGGCCGCCCGTAACACAATTCGCAATAGTGGGCCTCGCCTGTGAACAGTCTAGCTATTACCACGATCACACTTTGCAGGAAATGCACCGGGAAAGGGAATTTCTCGGGAAAACGATGCCGACAGGAAGTTCCTTTTCAGTGGGAAATTCATGCGATCGGAGAAACATGTAAAACATCATTCCTACCTGATGTGTACTGAAACAAATTTCCTGTTGAGAGAGCATAAAATAGCAGTTTAACGAAACCATGTAACACTTTCACTTTGACCGGCAAACTAATACCGATATATAATACATTAGATCCGTGGAGGACTCCCATATGAAAGGGGAGGGGATGCTCGTCTTTGCGCTTAGGTGTGTAAATTTCAGATTTTGGTCTCGCTTAGGGTGTTCTGGGCAAAACACCATTATATTTAGCCGTAAAGGTCTCTTTTAGGGTTGTACTCCAAGAAATATGAAAAAAATTATACATTTTCAGTTCGTTTTCTGATCTTTTATTTACTCGATTCATGTAATCAAGGTTTAAAATGATCGCTTTTAGGGGTCAAAAAAGGTTGGGACACGCCCAGATTGGTCTCCTTTAGGGGTTTAATTCAAAATTTCCGACGAGCATCCCCGCCTCTTTCATATGGGAGTCCCCGCCCCTCTTCCCGGGCATGGCATTAGATATATCATATTAATACGTAACTGTCAGTGTATACTCTATTCTGCCTTCGCGAGTCTCTGACAGTTATCAGACTCTTATCAGCTTTTAGACAACATAGTTCAGTAAAACACTTAATTACCGTCTGTTTCAAAGCGTACTTAATTGAAACTGCTGTAGACCGGCACTGGGAATGGCCCAACGATAATTAGTATTGACAGTCTTTACATAACCTATTCTGGGGCAACGGCAAAGCGATACCTTTCATCTTACATACAAAAGTTTTGAACTATCAAACTACTCAGTATTTTGTTCAAAGAACTGCTACTAATAGTTATCGCTTTCACCCGGACACTGAAGGTCCCGCTAAAGTTGGATTCATGAAGCCCCCTTTAAAACCCTCCCAAATCAATCTACTGTAGCTATATTTCATAACTTAGTTTGATTTTTTGTAAATTCACAGAGAGTTAAAGACTGAATAACCTATAAACTAACTAACGAAGGAAAGATCAACCTAAAATCGAAAGTACTTTCATATCCGTTTGCATGATCTTTGCCTGAGCCAAAAGGTTCGCTGAAAGCTTGGTTTCAGTATAATTCCAACGGATATTTACAGTTTCCGGCTTTAATAGTTCAGATGGTCAAGCGACCTATTTTTTTCACTCTGAAAGGGAAAACGTATATCTCCGCTGATATTTTCAAGTTCCGCCCAGTGGGCGAGAATTACTGAAGGGGATTTTCCCTTCAACACCTTTCAATATAATTAGTAAATATGTTTTCAACTTGACTGGTGTAATTAATCATTTCTAACTAGCAAGCAAGCTAAAAAAAAACTGCACTTTAACTAATGCCAAATCTTCAGTAGTGCTAATGAATCTGATGACAGTTCGATGAACGGTACCGTGATACTCCATGCAATACATGTTAAAACGGAAATGACATATTAAGCTTCGGATCACTCACCAATTAAGCTTCAATTTAAGGATAATAGAAGAATATTTACAGCCTAAATTCGGCAGATAATAAGAATATTTAGCCTAGACCAGAAAACAACATTATAAAATTATATCCTATTGAAAATCTCCGCCTAGTCCTGGTCTGTGCCGTTAAATAACATTATGCATCCTTAACAGCAAACTTTGTCAATCGTTCAGTGACAATATAATCTCATTTATTCAATATCTGTTTTACTTGTTTTAGTTAAAAGACTGAAGCTAATAGGAAATACTATTTAAGATCACGCCTTAATTTCGTCGAAATGAGCAATCCAACTTAATCTTATCCTTTGTAAAAAAGGAAGCTGTTATAAAATAACATCAAGTCACGTGGACGTGCTTTCAACTTACCCCAAAGTAACAATAACCATAAAGCTGAACTAGAGCTCATGTTGACCTTTTTCTAAAATGATTCTTGCAGTTGCTAAACAAGTTTCGCTATTGTAATGCTTCGCCGACCAAGAATAATAAGACCGAGTCTGCAAAAAAGAAAAAGGGACGAATTACTTTGTCATCAACAAATCGTAAAGAAACCCAAACGGAGCTTTCTCTTTCGAAATCTACTCTAATTCTCATTCATTTTCGCGCTACGTGCTTCAACTCAGTGAAGAAATTAGGTGTTTTAGAGTGAAAGCGATCAAGAAGCGTTTTATGGCAATCTAGAGAATTAATGTTGAGTCCAGTTTGCTCGTAGGTCGATTATATTGTTTGAGCCTATGTTTTCTTACAAAATCATTTGTGCTCCATCGTTCTGAGAGAACTAACTGCTTCTCTCGCCAAAATGGGCGCCCTTTTCAAGTTTCTTGGTGTACTCATGATCACTGCCGCCGCGCGACGTATTGAAAATAATCAATTTCAAAAGGCAGTTCGAATTCTTGCTTAATCTGCTAGCTATCAGCTCTGGGATCTGTGATCAATAGCTAGAAATGAACCCTCTTTAATGTTGAAATTCTATGGTAAGAGAAAATTGCACCACTGTAGTAGAAATACCAACGAACTATTTCGAAGCGCATTCATCAATTTGCGTTCCTAAAAACATTTTAGGCTTGGACTGCCGGGTCGAATCCTTCGTACGTGAGTAGGCTTAATTAACCGTTATAACAACTTCTTTTTCATGTTGGGGTTTTTTCCCTTTTTATCATGGTGAGGCATCCTTGCCAATATCGAGCAGCGAAAGAAAGGCTCTGACGTTATGTTTGGCAGTATCTTTTTCAACATTGATTCAGCTAGTTTTCGATTTGCTTTCTTTCACCGATAATAATTAAGTGATCGACCACATAATCACAAACAACAGAGAAGTAATAAACAAATTACACTTACAAAGGAATGAACCGACTAATATGACTAACTTACCGTCTTCTATCCATTTAGCGCTAGTTGTGGACTTCGCCCTAAAAGTGACGTCTTTAATGATTCACAAGTGTTTATATATCCTCTCTTGATATAAATGATCATGTGACTAATTTATCGATACACCCCGTAACCGCAACATAAATAAAACGGTTCAGTGACCTTTTGTAAGATATACCCAAACAGGAAAAAAGAGAATGCCAATATGGTTAACGAACAGTTTTTTAAAATTTCCGGTTAGAAAGTAAATGAAACAGCACTTTTGAGTCTTTTCGGGACCACCTGATACCACCTTTTCGTCAGTGGAAACTTTCCAGGCCGGAAAAACGGGATCACCTGAGAAAAGAATGTTCCGGACAGAAATGCATGTTCTTCTTCGTCAAACCATTTTTA